TGTGATAAAATTTTGCCCATCATAAACCCAGTCTCGTCGAAATTATAGATGTCGTCGTCAACGATCCCCCACTTCTGTTTCCACTCCTTCACTACGTCGAACCAGCGCTTGATAATCGCTGGATCCTCGCACTTAGCTCGCTGATAGTCGTATGGACGGCTCCAACGTTGTTTAACCTCCGGAGTCCGCTTTACAAAGTTATCAACCCAGTTCTTGCCAACTGGCTCTGCGCCGCGTGCTCGCAGGAGAGTATCAGCCATTTCGCGCACGCTCTGCTTCGTAGGCGCAAATCCTTGATCTGACTCCTCAATCATACGCCGAACTATCGCCTCCTCTTCTAGTTTATTCATCTTTTTCGAATTTGGCTCGCAATCGGCTCGTAGAGGGATTCCAGCGTGTCGACTTTGAAGGGTTGATCGGGGAACGTTATAGATCTCTGCTGCGCGTTTCACGCTTTTTACGCGTCGGGAACTAATATCAGAGATAGCAAGTAATATATCAGCTTCAGTATAGGGCTTTTGTATATTGTGTTGTTGAGACATTACGCGCAATCGACGCGCTGGTGGGGCGCTCATGAAAAGGTGCCAGCTCGCTTGGGGTGCCAGCTCGCTTATGAAACACGTTAACTATTATTTAGGATAATTTTAAGTTTATTAAGAAATACTAAAGAAATTTATTAAGAAGATAAGTAGGGAGATTAAGCACATTAGCAAAAAATGGAGGAAGAGCCGATTGACAGCAGACAATGTAAGGTAGTGACTTGTTATGGCTACTCGTGTGATCGTCATCGCGGAGTTGTAGTCCGGAGATACTCTTTACAGGTACATGCAGAGATCTACATGGGCGAGTCCGATTCCACCGAGGTTTTCTTTCCTTTAATGAACTCCGTTTCGGTCGACTCCATTGAACAAAGATGTCCTGGCATATCGCAGGATACAAGTACACTAGTAAACCCCGGGAGATGCAATGCTCTATGTAGAGAGATATGCTCGGACAGTATCACCTGTTACTACGACTTGATTAATGCGTATACACCGGTGACTCCTGTATCAAACTGTGCATTCTGCAAGGTGTTCTTCCAGTGAAAATATAAAAACAAGCCTAGGGTATACCTTCGAGAACCGCACCCAACCTACTATTGTTCAATCTTTCCAATAGTGTCTACATATTCGCTCTTTACAGACTACACGATCGTTATACAATTTATCAAGAAACCTTCTACCAACAGCTATGCAATTACTCAGGGCTTCTCTTTTTTCCCTTTTTGCGACTGCTACTCTCGCTGCAGTAATCAATACCTCCAACATCCAAGCTGCTCCACCTACTGCAGGCAATCCTGGTACCCCACAAGAGGACAATAGTCGCAAAGAGCTCGAAGCCAGAGCCATAACCAACCCGTTCAGGAGGTACACAATGATATGCCCAGGGACAGATGGGTATGTCGATTTGTACCCAGACAACCTGAATTACCCGAGGTACAAGTGCACAGATCACCTGAGGTGCAGTACCATCGATGGTCAGCTTAAAATTGATGGATTGGAAACCAGCCATGAACAGAAAATAGGGTTGCGGAAATGTAAAGAGCTAAAATGTCGTTGTAAAGGGAAGAAGGATTATAACTTTTCTGGGAAATAAGTAGAATTACTTGATGTATTGAAGCTTTCAATTTCCTAGCAAAGCAACAAACAAGCATGTCCTACTTGAAGTATTAAGCTTCTTACACTCCTTATTTTATTAGGCTATATGAAGAAATAGGTATAAATTCAATATATCCAGTAATAATTCTGCAAGAGCAAAATCTTGACTGCAACAACGAGGTAGCATTGCATATAGGGATATAGTAGGACTTACTACATTTAAAAGATCTCTAAAGTCGAAATCAGATCGCTGGACTGAACTAGCTTTTCTATCACCGTGTAGTGTCTATCACGCTTCATTTAGCAATGAAATACGCTATTATCCTCCTAGTTGCTCTGGTCTTTCGCCAGTCCCAGGCACACTATCTCACAGGTCGCTTGATATTTGACAACCACTGGACTGATACTTGGGAATATGTTCGCAAGATTAGCCCCTATGATGGACCCTTGAGCGATCCAAACCTCGCCTTGGTGTATCCCAATACTGATCCCGCTTCCCTCGATTTGCGCTGTGGTCGCAACGCTACCAAAAACTGGTCTACAACAAAAACAGCAGTGCTGAAGGCAGGCGACAAGGTTGGATTTGGAGCTGGAGCACCAACAATAAGTTTGGATAAAATTGCACGCATCTATCACCCTGGATTTGGCTCGGTGTGGATGTCAAAGTCCCCCCATGATGATGTCGACAGATACGAAGGAGATGGAGATTGGTTCAAGATATTGCAAATCGTAGGGCGCACAGAGCAGTCGCTTGACTTCGAGGATCCAGGAAATAAAAACCTATACGACAGATACAAGGCAATGTGGGGAACATTCAATGTCCAGAGTGTAAGTTCTGTTACCACTTCATCACTACGCTAGGGCCTTTTGATGCTGACGCTTACAGTGGAACTTTACCATACCTGCAACGACACCACCTGGGAAGTATTTGCTTCGCTTTGAACACGTCTTCCCGAATACATATGATAGCCAATTTTATGTGAATTGCGCTCATATAGAAGTCGTTAATCCTGGCGTCGTCGGGACTCCCAGCCCTCTAGTCAAGATCCCGGGGATCTATGAGCGGGGTCAGCCCGGTACGTACTCAAGGGCGTAAAGAAACATTAACAGACGCTTACTCATTGCCTAGACGTTTATTTTGATCATTATAATTCGTCTTTCATCGAACATCCTGAAGATATATCTTGGTTCATCCCCCCTCAGCCAAATGTTTGGAAGGGTTGACTAAGAACGATGTTTGATAAATATTATCACGGAAAGATTCCCACTATGAAGTCTGGCTCAAATTTTGCGATAACTGTTGCTCTGGTAAAGTAATCAGCAATTTTCTTGTTGCCATGAATGATCTTGTTGAGGACAGTGTGTGTTGTCGAAGCGTTCCTCTTCAAGACACCAAAGCTTTTGACTAGAAATGATCTGGGGCATGGAAATAAAATGCAAATTTATGCTATAGTCGAATGTTAGTGAATGACCCACAATGAATGCTCCATGAAGTCATATGACACGTAGATTGCTCTGCTAGCTGCAGGGCCAGTCAATGAAACATGGCCACTCATAGATGCAGTTGTTACAATTCTTTAATATACGGGTAAATTGTGTCAATGCAGAATCGGATCTTCACGCAGCTATTAGGACATGTGGGCGGATGAATCGATTCTATCCTAGATTTGGGAAAGGGAAGAAAGCGTTTGCATAAGGTTTGTTGTGTTTAGCTTTGGGTTTCCTCATAGATGTACATATAGGCATGTTTGACTGCGTAAGCTCATGATGATATCATCCTAGAATATCCAAATTATCCCACCTAATTAAAAATGCTTTCAAGAATCACCATATGTGAAAGCCATCCACACGTATCAGACGTGTACACTGCATGTAGAGTGAGAGCGACGGTTATGGCCACAGGAGACAAAATATTGATGATAATTTTGACACCACCAGATAAGTAAGAAGTCATAAGGATATAGACAAATTTCCACCCTATCTGAAAAGTTCTGCTTTATTGAATGGTTGAATCATTTTGTTGTCAGAAGACGTTGTCTAGAAAATCGAATATGCGGTCAAGTCGTTGTTTGCGATTGATTTGTGCACAACATACTAGATTGAGGAGATAGTGTTTCTTCGTTAGCTGAGACGAACTCGAAAATACAACAGGAACGTGCCCTGAGGCTATTCCAAGATGTTTCTGATAAAGGACAATACTGTTCAGCAATTTGAAGAACGGGGAGTCATTGTTCCTCTTGCGCAAGGGCTGCTACACAAATCTAATGATGCCCAAGTACCCCGAGGGAGCCGGAGATTCAACGGTTACAATCCGAAAATTACACCAATACCCAAGTCGTCATTGAGTCTTCTTAATGCTCTGTTTGCTTCCCTTGCGCTTCCGCGATCAGATCTGGCGCGACGTCTTTATGCGCCGACCCCTTCAGATCGTGCTCACCCATTTCGCCATCCCATCCATGTGCCACCAGGTAGGCACGGAATCTTTCATCTTCCAGCCTCAAATCATCGCCCTTAAGGTCGCGGACAAAGAATCTCGTGACTAGCATACCGGCGATACCACATATTGCGGCAATGATAAAGGTCCATCGTTTTCCGAGATGATTCTGGATTGGGGTGAAAGCCTCTGTACCAAGGGCAGCGCCGACTTTCCCGATTGCAGCAGAAAAGCCATAGCAGGTCCCACGAACTGCAGTTGCATATGACTCGCTGCTAATGAGGCCCAACATATCGCCAGGCCCCAAGTTGCCTGAAGACTGCATCAAGCCGTAGAAGACAACGAATAGGGGGATGATCCTAGTAATTTGGTCGTACGCACAACCAATTATGAGACCAAAAACGAGATAGCCGCTGAAGCCAACCATCATTGTGCTTCGACGGCCTATCTTATTACAAAGATAGGCACCAATGAACACACCAGGCAGGGCAATTGTACCGAGAAGAAGCTGGTATTCAGCAGTCTTCACAATGTTGGAACCTTTCACAACGCTGGAAATGATCGTGCCCTGTAAGTTTCTCACGTCAGCTACTGAAGATATGCTAGCCCTTATACTTCGGCGATAGAACAAGCTGAGTAACTTAAGTTGATCTGCGGGAGAGATTCAATGAACTTACGGAAAAAACCCCATTGGGGAAAGTAATCTAGATTTTCGTTTAGATTTGAATGAGAGTAATTGCGATGGTGGCCACTTACGAAGTCATACAGAAACCACGCCCCAGCAGTTCCGATCAGATCCTTCCAGTAATATCGAAGAACCAAAAGGTAAGGTACTCTCTTTTTGATAGCACCGCGCCTGTAGAGTTTGGAGTTGAGCATTTTCATCCGGAAGTAAAAGACAGCAAGCGGGATGATACAGCCAATACCGAAACATACGCGCCACACGGTCGATAAGTGGTTGACGCCAGCTGCAGAAATGACAATGAGGAAGATGATCACTGCGAGTGGTCCTCCAAATGAAAGGGGTAGATTGGTGACGAGAACGAATATCGGTCCACGGTTCTTCAAAGTTCTCTCGTTTGCTGACTCGCTCGCGCTGGTCGAGGCAGCTGGATATTCACCTCCCGCCCCAAAACCAACAATACCACGGGCTATGGTCAGCATCCAGAACATGCCTATTGTGGTAGTTCCATGAGCAGCAGTGGCGAGAATTCCACCAACCACAACCATTAACGTGGTGAGGATGATGGCGAATTTGCGTCCAAGATAGTCACAAGTAAGGCCGACGACTACCTGGCCAAGTACCTCGCCTACGAGTAGAGCATTGGAGACTCGAGTTTTGACCGCGGCAGTGTACACCTTGGGATACTTCTTCGTGAACAGCACATTCAACATCGTCCTGTGAGCCGTCAATACATATAGAGAGCACATATCGTTTTTGCTAGTAAACCTTACATGAGATTGTTTTGATATCTGATGGGCGATGAGCATATTGCATTTCCGCCATAATTAGGTCATGACATACCCGTCTGAGGCTAGGCCAGCGCCAGCTGCGATAATAGTGAACAAATCTGAAATCCTTTGCCGTCTCGTGAGAGCCTGTGTTTGGGACGGAGCTAGATCCTCAGAGGCCACTGACTCTACGACGGCATTTGAGGTCTTGCTGGTACCATTGTGCTCGTCAAGGGAGGTGGTGGTGTTCACCTCGAGACTATCAACGGGTGTTGAATTCGCCATTGGAGTCACAGTGGGAGCACAGTTGAACAGTTGGTAGTTTTTCGAGATGACTGACGTAAGTTCGATGAACTGGAATGAGGAAAACAGTCAAGTACCCAGGCTCTTGAAATGGGATTGCTTAGGGACTCTTGCACGAAGGATGGCGACGGGGTCTTTATAGTAGAAGAGCGGCAACAGAGTGACGCGGACTCGTATCACGATATATACTTGATGGTTAACGTCCTAGTTTATGACTTCTTTCCTCCGTTTTTTACCATCCTGATGAGAGCGCATGCCTTCTTCGTAGCATCTGATTCGTAGGATAATCAGAACGCTCAGTTGTACACTCTGAGCGCTATCTCGTGCACGTGGATTCAAATACCACATGAAGAGAAGATACAGTGCCACAGCTTGGAGAAGCATTAGCTAGGGCCGTATAGGCCCCTGCGTCGAGGCTTGAACAGGTGGATCAAAGCCCTAAGCGCGGATCTGAAAGCGTCTGTTTCACAGTCTAGTATCCTTTATATGGAAGCACCCCGTATTCTTTCCAGTAGTCTTGACTAGAAGCCACGGTGACCGTCTTGTTTGATTATAACGATGGGTATTGTCCTTGGCTAACAGCCCTGTTATACTTTCTATGTTTCGATATGAGGACGACGACCAAGTTGTTCTTGACTATGAAGGATATTTGTGTGCTCGCCCTAGCAGACACGGAAACGGCGAAATCATCGTCCACTACGCAGAAATTAGGTTAGATGTATCATTTGAAATATCATAGGCAGTCGGCATCGGCAATAACCACCTAGATCCAAGTCGATTCGGAAATAAGTCTCAAGGAACGTTGCCCAACTTGTGAAATAGAGTCCACGTGGGCAGCATAGTAGGCTTTCGGAAGGGGAGAGCTCGCGCGACCACGACCCGACTACGGATTGCACGGCACGCCACCAGTACCCTAGTTGTCTTGACAAGTATGAATACGAAAGCTTGCGCAAGCTTGCGAAAGCTTGAGTGGAAAAAGCGAACTTGGCCCGTTGCAATGGTAAACCTAATTTGTGTTCCCAACGCAATGATGTGAGTAGTTGCACAGCTATGAGAGGAGGCAGATCGTAGAAAAGGTTGGCTGGTGTTGCAATATTGTAAGCGTACGATTGGCTGAGTCGACCCACACCACACACACTTAACTCCTGTGTACATATACACATACTACCTCGTATACAGATTGCACATACGAAAAAACTTTGTATCGCAGATGTGTCGTTCGTGCGATCAATGCCCTTTCCAGGGCCCTTCCAGGGCCCTTCTCGCCTATTGTGTCGTCACCGAGGATGTATCATTGCACATGGATTGATATCACTTTCTTTACGGGCTCGATACCTGGAGAGGAATCTGCTTGATAGTATAGTTATTCCTCACTTTAATCGCATCCAAAGATCCACTTCCGCCTCTAGGGACACTCAACGAAATTTCAGAGAAACCAAATACCACTACAATGAAGTTCCAACCATGGTCGCTATCAATACAGCCATGAACATGGGTCGGGTAATAGTTACAGATAGATGGAATCATCATTGCTCTTCAGACTGCAGTATTGTTCAAAGTTGGCAAAGAGTGATAATAATTGTCAATTGTTTAACGAAAAGATGATGTAAGGATTGGACTACACAGATTTCAGATCTAATGACTACGACCATAACCGTTGGGATACTGTCTTTCGGACTGTTGGTAAACCAATGTCGATGGATCAGCATCCTCACAGCTTGATACAACTGCGTCGATACCGTGTTCGTGGGGATTCATCAATTCCTTCTCTAACCCCCTCCTTTCCTTTCTCTCTGGTTATACCAGGTGATCTTTAGCACTTATTCCGTCAATCATGAGTGCCCTAATCCCCGAAAGTAGATAGGCAGAAAATTGCCCAGAACTGCCCAGAATTGCGCAGAAGTAAACCAAATAGTACTGATAGGTGTTCGACCTGAAATAATCTCTGAAAGACCCATGTAGGGATGGCCAAACTATGCATGCAGCCTCTTGGCAAGGTACCGCCATTATTGACGCAAGATCAGATGAGGTTCAGGTCGATTGGCGTTGACTCGGTCGCTGTAGGCTGAAAGGAGATGGAATACAGGGTATGCGAGGGATTTGGGCGAGCACACACAACAGTGGCTGGCATATAGGTCATAAAGTTGTAGTCGAACCTGGGTTGTGACTTGAAGACATAACAGTATTCTCCCCTTGATGTCATATTATGGATATCTTTTGCAAACTCGATGAACTTACACCACCTTGCGACCGCACCAAGATAGATGACGAAAGTCCATAGGTCACCGAGGCAAACGCAAACGCAAATATAGGTCGGAAGGAGGGCCAGAGCAGGGTCGATATATTCTTGGATGCTGGGATGATCGCCACGTTCTGGTCCTGAAAATCGGCGATCAAGAAGGCGCCAGATAGGACTAGTATTAGGGTGAGATGGGTGGTTTTGGCTGTACGTCAATCGTCGTCTTCGATGACAAGGCCTATCTCAGCTGCGTTCTTGACTTCCCCGCCACTTTGTGTTTCCTCCTCTTCTTCCTGATGACGCTTTTTTAGCGCGGAGTTTGGCGCGAGCTTCTTGATCTTATTTCCTTGCGTGGGTAGATCAGCATCGTTGTCATTAGCTGAACCATTGGCAGAACCCTTTTTCTGCTTCGCTTTTCTGGCTTTTGCCTTTTCTCGTTTGGCCCTGTTCTTCTCGGTCTTCTCGCGGTCTTTCCTGTCCTGCTCGTCCTTCTTCATATTGAAGTCTTTTTCATTCTCCTCCTTCTTGACCTCCTCGTCCATTGCTCGCAAGCGTTCATACTCCCGTCGACGACTAGCCTTGTAAACATGGAATTCGCCCGAACCAGCACCTGCGCTTGAACCTTGAACATTGGCGACGATCTCTGGGGGCGGGGCGACGCCTTTTTTTGGGCCCGAACTTGGAATGTGAATATCGCGGTCGGGCTTTGCGAAAAGGGCCTCGACGTCTGCGGCATAGCCAGCTCGTGGAGTGAGTGCTCGTCGCTTGACGGGGCGTTTGGAGCGTGGATCGGCGGACGTGGGGATGGACTCGGGAATGTTTTCAGACATGATGGAATGTGAGTATATTCGTTGGGAAGCGAAATCTTGATCAGTTGGTGTTGACGAAGAAGGAGAAGGGCGAGGGTGAGGTATGAGGAATGAAGTGTTATGACATGAGAGTTGAACAGAATGGAGAGCGAAAGGAAGGAAAGAAGGAAGGTTGATCAATAAAGGTAAGTATGAAGACGGCGAGACAATTTCAGTATTAGTCGTAGTAGGTACTCGTACTAATACTCGTGATGCAAAAGAGGATCATCTACCTATGAGGTAGATGTACTGTGTACCAATGTATAGATACAGGTAGTCAGACAGTCAGGATGAGGGAGGAAACTATTTGACGCGCCGTTGCCCAGTACGCGCATTCTGTAGCATCACGTGAGTAAGATACGGGAACGGCACGTGATTCGCCCCCACGTACCTGCCAAGAAAGAAGGGTGCTGTTCTAGCCCTCCCCCGTCCAGAATTTCATCATCATCATCATTACTATAGGGATATACCTAGGTGCCTAGTTACTATACATATAGGAAGTAGAAGAAGCGCAAGTAAAAGAAAGAATAGCATCAGAAGAATAGCAAGAGTAGGAAGACAAATAGAAGGAAAAAGGAAAAAGGAAATGGAGTTTCTAATGTTCAATATAAAGTGCTGGGCATTTTCCATAGTATGTACGGAGTACACATCATATTGTAGTAAACTACCTATATACATACTGTGTTAGGTACGTCTAATTTTTGGGGAATATTGAGACTTCCTGATCTGGTCCAAGGATGAATCATGAATTAATTAATAATGTTGAGAGAATGGGATGGGTGGCGGAGTGTTTTCCATTTATTAATTCTGTACATCAGTTGACTGTAATGAATTATTTGACAATCGCCGCCACTGCCACACAACCCCAGTACTAAGTAAGTAGTGCCTCCACCACCAAGCTCTCATGAAACACTCACCTACACCTACACCTACACCTATTACGCCCCTGGAAAGACACAACTACACCTCAACTTCTTCCACATTTACCACATCTTCCACATTACAGACACTTCCATCGCACACTCCCCGACCTCCTCCCCATAGATACCTCCATACCTCCTCCATAAACCCACCCAACTACGACCCCTCCATTCTCCACCTACTTTCTTCACCGGCACGCAATCCATATATTCCCAGCAAACCCAACGCCACCATGGGCAAGCCGCGGGTAAGTATTATCTGCCCATGACGGCAACTGTCAAGCCATACAAACCCCTTCTGACACATGCACCATCAGATGATTATCCTCGTCCGGCATGCCCAGTCCGAAGGAAACAAGAACCGCGACATCCACCAGTTTATACCAGACCACAGGGTCAAATTGACACCTCATGGCCAGAGCCAGGTATGCGCTCGCATAACCTCCGCTTGTACATACTCAAATTCATTGCTGATCAAAGCCCACGGAACCCATATAGGCAGAGGAAGCCGGCAGACAACTCCGCTCTCTGCTTAAGCCAGATGATACACTCCAATTCTTTACGTCACCCTACCGTCGCACGCGAGAAACTACCGAAGGCATCCTCAAAACTCTCACCTCCGACGATCCGACCCCTTCTCCATTTCCACGTCATAAGATAAAGGTCTTCGAAGAACCTCGATTGCGTGAACAGGACTTTGGCAACTTTCAACCGTGCTCGGCCGAAATGGAGAGAATGTGGCAAGAAAGAGCTGATTACGGGCATTTTTTCTATCGAATTCCTCACGGAGAGAGCGCCGCAGATGCATACGACAGGATAAGCGGATTTAATGAGAGCATGTGGCGCCAATTTGGAGAGGAGGATTTCCCCAGCGTCTGTGTGCTCGTGACACATGGACTCATGACAAGGGTATTTCTTATGAAATGGTAGGTCGTCGTACATGCGTTGCACCTCCCGCGCAATCCACAATCACGCTGACGTTCCTTCAGGTACCATTGGTCTGTTGAATACTTCGAAGATTTGCGAAACGTTAACCACTGCGAATTCATCGTCATGAAACAGAATCCTACAAACGGAAAATATATATTGCAAAACGAACTTCGTACATGGTCAGAACTCAAGCGAAGAGCGGCCGCCGCAAACCCGACGGGGCAAACTCCAATTTCAAGTACCCCTAGTAAAGGTTTACCAGCCCCAGGAGTCTTGCATTCTTCTCCTACCATCCCGGTGCGCCGCTGGGGAGGTTGCGCAACTGGTTGCACTCATGACAAGATGAACTGGCCCCGCCGGGCCATGCGCAAGAACACCGCCGACTACATGGGCGGTACATTGCCAGCGCCAGCACTTCCTAGCGGCATCATTGAGGACGAAAAAGACGATCACCCAATCGCTTCTCAAGAAGCTGAGCACACTCCGACCATTGCCGAACCTACGCCTTCAAAGTTAAGTCGGAAGCCAAGTACTAAGACTATCCCTGGTCCTGCGATGCCCCTTACGCCCGCTTCCCCTAATGACGCATCGGACGATTCTTTTACTTCGGATGATGCAGCGGGCAGTAGTGACGGCGACAAGGCTACAGCCTCGGTTCCACGTACACAGCAGAATCCTGCCCCGAGAACTGCAGCGATCATGAGGCACTTGCATCCGCCTCCGGGTGTAGCTCGCACTCGAGCTTCTGGTGATGGATTCTCGGACGACTCGGACTACTTCCCAGGCATGCAACATGCACATGCTTACTCGTCGCCCTCGAAAACGACTAATGGGAATCATGGGCGATCCAGACTGCGGGCTAGTTCGAAGCATCGGCAACAGAGTAAAGAAACCAAACTTGCTCGTAGAATGAGCGAAAAGAATTGGATGGAGGAAGGTGGCCTAGGTTCCGGTGCTCGAGCTGATACTCTCGGCGATGGCAACGAGACAGGCAACGAGACATGTTCTGCGGATCGAACCGACTCACCAGCTACTAATAATCACTCCGAAAAGCCAATACTGCGTGAGGCGTTGAAGGGCGACATGATCGTGGAGAACGGCGAAGATGAGTCCGAAGATGGATCTGACAAGCTGGCCATGCTTGCAGCGCAACATAAGGTGGGGGAGAAGGATATAGAACGATTCAAGGAGGAGGACAGGAAGGGATTCAGCGAAATTTATTAAAACCATGTAACGATACCACGAGTAAGATCGCATTCAGCTGTAGACCGGCGGAACACTCTAGTCAGGACCGTTTTAGCGACTAGGTGCGAATGATATCCACTGTTTTTGCACTTTAAAGTATGCTCTTGTCGTGCAATTCGAAGGGAAACGCCTGCACTTACACGCCAGGAGGGAGAAGAACATCATACTGTCGCAGGCGAATTTCGCGGGAGGAAGATATGGAAGTACGTAGTGCAGATTGTCAAGGGGATTCCGGGAGTGTGCTCCACCTTCTGCCGTTGCAATAGCGTCGGGACAATGATACATAGAGGTACATATCGAACCAAATCACTTGCTTTGAAGAGGGCGCACCGCATCTTCTCTCGGATGCATCATATTCATTTATCAATGTAAGAAAACAGATGATTTCCATCACATCATTGCCCTCGGTCTGACTCTCAAATGTATAGTGGTCTTATTGGATAGATAGGCATGATATTGTAAGTAGGACGATCTCCCTACCTCTCATGTTGGCTTACCCTAGATCAAGGAGTCGTCATTGGTATACGTAACCCATCCCTTGGTCCTCCATGCCTCCCTGTTGAATACTGCCATCAATGCAAAACTGGTAAATGGGGTAGCTGGGGAAGGCGTCCAGGTTTGCGGAAGAAATCACAAACATGCCTGACAGACATTTAACCAATGAGAATATGAGTCTTACCTCGGTGCATCTCGATCCTCTGTTTGTACCACTTGTGCAATAAAGCACACCCGGCTTTAAGTCAATTAATGTTATATGTTCGAGCCCTCTAGATTTAAGTATACTGCAGGGTGCTACACACTGTGCCTGGTACCTGATACTTACATGTTTGTGTGCAATCAACCGCCTTCATGGCCTAATCACATACCCATGTACCTGGCAAGTTGGTTAGCTACTCACTACTTGGGAGCGCGCGCGTTCTAGATCAATGTCGGATGTAAAAATGTCGGAAATATTGACCACCACTTCACCATTTCCTGCACAGTTCTACAACGAAGACTGTTTCAATTTTTAATGTCGATGTGCTCTTTCTCGAACTGACCCTGAAAATCACACTCTCCTGGTGAAAAGTGAAACCGTAATGTGAGCAACCCGCTTGCCTATGTGGTATTCATCTTTTGTAATAGACGTACAATCTCTGCTTCGACATGTATACCCGGGATAGTGGAATGAGACAGAACGTGGATGTTCCTAGAGCATTCCGTGATGCTAACAGGAAACTACACAACATTTTGTACTATAGCTTGCCAATTCTCCTACTTTTCTCAAGAGTCGTCGCAGGAATATCTGAAGATATTCTGCCACTTTTTTAAGGTTAAAGTCTTCGTGCGTAGCAGCACTCAAGAATAGGCCCGAAAGCAAAGTAGTGATTTTATCAATGATCCTCCAAGATTGTGTTAGGGCAGACTCTGTTTTTCTGCTGAGGTGCAGGGTTAACTGCGTACTCGCCACATTGTGAATCAAGATTGCGGGCTGGTCTAATTGCGAGGACGTCATCTCAATCAGCTACCTGGAATGTTCCGAGTCCACTCATTTTGGATTAACATGGAGCTGCGCAGCCTCTGATATGAAGTCCACCAACCGGAGTTCGGTCCTTCAAACCTTGCCCTCTATATAGACCTAGTCGTAAACCTTTTTGGGTGTGCTGATCGTTGCCAATGGAACTTTCCGTGTACAGGTTCCCCGCATATGCTCATTTCATTCAAAAATGGTGAATAGGAGCACTCCCTTTACTATCAGCGGAAACCTTCTGACGGGCCATGCTTAAACGCCTAACAAACCATGAAAGACTACTCCTAGGTGTCATATTACCTTTCATATGTGTCCCCTGGCGATTCATTTTGCTAAATTAGCTATTTCATGGAATGGATCACGACAATCATTCAGCAGATGTAGCAATACAAGAAGGGAAAATGTGGAAGGGGTGGGAGAACTCGAGTATAAAGAGAGGGTTGAATCCGGAGAAAGAAGATTGTATCACCAGGAACATCGCTTCTGCTACTACCTCCTTTGAAGATAATCGAGAATCCTACGCATCAAGATGAAATTCGCTTTGCTAGTCCTGATGGCCGCAGGGTGGGTTCCAACATGATCAGTCCTACATTTGATTATTCACTAAGTCTTCACCAGTACCATAGCCGTCCCTGTTGTTGAACGTCAGGAGGCACCCCCATCTTTCACTGGAGGGTTTCGTAAGTGGATGGAGTTCATGCATTGAAGAAATGAGGCAGTGACTGACAGTCGCATAGCACCAGCACCTACGGGGGGTTTCCGTAAGTGGGCATACATAAACACACATAAGAGCGACTGTTAACAATCAAACAGCTGGAGGACCAAGCTTCAGCTTCCGTTAGTGACATAGTCTTAGAATTAGAAGGTTTGGTCGTTAACTAACAGTGGCCAGCTTCTGGACCGCTCCCCACCGGCGGGTTTCGTAAGTAGTATCTTATTTAATTGTCAAATCCGTTAAGCTGCTCACTGCCAATGTAGCCATTCCAAGCGGCCGTCCGAGCGGCCGTCCAAGTGGTCGTCCAAGTGGCCGCCCCACTGGTGGAAGTAAGTGAAAAGCTCTCCTCATTCTACTAGGCTACATCTACTAATATTCTCGACCAGGACCCACTGATCGTCCCGTACCTACAGGCGGATTTCGTGAGTAGCGATGTTTGGTTGTTTGACCTAGGACAGTTAGACTGATCTTTGACCACAGCTGTTCCCACAGGTGGCTTCCGTAAGTTCTCACTGTATATGTATTCACAAGTGGCTTCCTAACAATCCACATAGCCGGTTTCCCCTCTGGAGTTCCCTCCGGATTTCCAGTACCCTCGGCCCCCCCAGCACCCCCAGCACCATCTGCTTAGGCGATTGGAATCTCCTCTAACGCCGATTTCTATGGTTAGTCATTGTAGGTGGAACTGATTGGATACATTCGTTACCGCAAGATACTCTATATCGTTGATGGGCAAGTTACATATAAAGTCAATATAACATGCGACATTGCTCATCTACAAATCATCCTTCTTTGTTCCTGTGACGACATCAATCATAAGGAAAGACTGCTACTAGAATAAAGCAACATACTATCAATAAATGTTTACTTCGTATCATGCATTTGCTAGAACAAACCCACGCAGTAATCGCACATCAAGCGGGTGCATGGAGGGGCACAATTGCAGGGCCAAATTCAGATATAGAGGTCATGATAACGCTAATTCAGTATATTAATCTATAAATATTGTATCATCCCGTCTATTCGCCAAGTCTATCCCAGATCATCCGTAGCATCGTGTAAAGGAACACGATAATGACCTAGACAAAACACAGATTCTCCTCTGTTCAACGCCCAACGGTGGTATCTCTTACTGACACTGACACTGAACTCCACTTCTAGAAATTGCTTTTGGACACCCATTATTTGAAAACCACAGAATTAGCAGCCTAGTTCTGGGGCAAAAGAACACCTCGGTATCTCATCTTGCCATCCTTCAAAGTCTGCATTGCCTCTGTAATACCATCTGCAGTCAAGGGGAACTCGTTGATGATGGGCTTGATGTTATGCTGGGCGGCAAACTCAAGCATCTTTCTGTGCTGTGCGCGAGGGGCAACAACGGAACCCTGGACTCGGATGCCATTGAGAAGGAGAGGCATGTAGGGAATGGAGAAGTTGCCTTCGGCGACAGAGAGAGGGAAAATCTTGCTGTCAGGCGCCATTACGGGCAAAATCAACTCCCAGTCTAATTAAGGACAGTTAGCAAAATTCACTTCGAGGCCAATTGGTTTTGACATACCTGGCTGAGCACTAGTGGTAACAAGCAGGCAGTCGACTTTGCGGCTTATATCCAACTCGGTCTTGCCCTTCATGGCAATAAACTCGTTTGCGCCCAACTTGGTAGCCTCTTCTTTCTTGCTCTCGGTTCCAGAGAAGACAACGACGTCGCATCCCATCTTGCTGGCGAACTGGATAGCCAAGTGACCTAGACCACCGACACCCATGACACCAACACGATCCGTGGGCTGGATGTTGTACATACGAAGAGCGTTCCAGACTGTTGCGCCACCGCACATGAGAGGAGCAGCCTCCTTGTCACCCAAGGCGTCAGGAAGCTTGAACAGGAAGGCCTCCCTCCAGATAGCGCGCTCCGCAAAGCTTCCCTGGTCAAGATCGGCGAATCCGTACATGGCTCTCTCGGGGCAGTATGTTTCCCTTCCCGTGAGACACCACTCGCAGCTTTCGCAGGAATTGTGTTGATAACCCCATCCGACGCGGTCATTCTTTTTCAGGCGGTGAACGTTGGGTCCAACCTCTTCGACTACACCAGCACCTTCGTGACCGAGCACCACTGTATGTAACGATCTGGTTAGCGCTGCACAATAATTCCCATGTCTCGTGACAAATCGTATTGCATGGTTCCTGATGCCCAATTTGCATGTTGACCTGGGGATACATACTGTCTACGGTACGATAGTGCTCGTCCGTTCCACAAACGCCGGAAGCAGTGATGCGGACAAGTACCTCGCCATCTTTGAGACCAGGCCGCTCAGTCGTAGACTGAACGATCTTGCCGTCTTTAGTGCCCTTGTACACAGTATATGAAGGCATAGTGGTGATTGAGGAATAAAATAATCAGAAAATAAAACTATATAAACCTAGATTGGTGTCGAGGTCGCGGAGTAGAGCTGAACAGTTGAAACTTTGATGAGAATCGAGTCCAGAGAATGAGGGCTCAAAACCTTTTAAGGAATGACCTGGTAATAATTTTTTTTTGGTCTAGGTACCATATTGAAACATGGGTTTTGGCTATGACGTTGTGTGTTAGTGATGTCCCAGGTATCGGCCATTTGTGATCGCAAAATTTTGATCATTAATCCTAAATGTTGTTAAGATCTTAACTCCGCCAGGCACATTCCATCCTGGGAGCCCTGTCTTTGATCGGTAGATAGTCCCGTACGGGAATCGTTGCAACAGTTGGACCGTAGCGCTGTGGGTCTTGAATGCGCCGAGGTGAACTTGCTTCAAGGCCAAAGGCCGAGATAGAGACACTTGTTCTACTTCCAGACTGCCGACTTTTGCAGATGCTTAGAGCCTTATCGATGTCGCGCATATCTGTGGCGTCGCTCATTGGAAGGAGAGCATTATGAACAATAAATCAATAAATAATCAATCAGTATCATATCTTACTATCTTGTAAGCGTGTGCTTACAAACCGGCCATTGTCGGCAAAAATGCGACGACGTTGGACGAACATCAGTCCGCTGTTCATGCCCGAAGATCTTCGAAGAGTGCGAAGATTTTCGTGGAGCATGTACATAGATTCTGGAAGCTATGGTGACGTAAGACAATTGGTCCGAAACCACCATGCCAAGAGTCGCTCATATTCCCATTCGACGTCACGTCCTATCTATTCGGACTCTTCAGATACATGTATGATGCTTATAATTTCATTTCCCAGAATTCGTCGAGGGGCTTCACGTGTTGGTGGTGAGATCTGGATCAAAGGGCCTCACGCGATAGATATTGTCTTTTCCCCATGACCAGTTGCTACGGAGTAACTGGGTCACACTATTAGGCGTTCGGATGTGTTTTGAAGATGGCTCCAGTATGTATTGGTACCAATCTTGGAACGTTAGTTCGAGTGCGATATGTAGAGGAAGCTAGACCCGAAAGGAAGTGAGTCGGCGGCGGCTCGATTCCCTCCAGGTTGGTCTCATAAACAACCATTACCAGCCGCCTTCAACATGGATGTCATCTCTCAAAACGGCTTGATAAAGACGAAAGTATAAACGTCTTGCGGTAGCTGTTTGGGGTAGAAGGACAACTTCTAGGGGATTACAATTGTTGCGACTCAGGGCTCACGATATCAACAGTACAAAGAAGTATTTTCGTCAAGGTCATTTAACTTTTTGTCATTTTGGTCTGCAAGCACAATCATGCATATCACAACTATGCTGCATTCCGGATAGGCCCCAATGATCTAGCCAATAGTCTAGTAGAAGAAACCGATGATCTTTCCGGCAACGTGCTTCCTCCTGGCCTCCTCGTGGTCAAGGATACCAGCAGAGGTGGTGAGGACGATGTAACCGAACTGACGAGAAGGAAGCAGCTTGACGACCCACTTCTCGAGGTCACGGAGCTGGACGTTGTAGCGAGGGCTGATGACACCTGTCTTGTTGATGCGGCCGTTAAGCTGGATGACGATCTTGCCGTTGCGGTGGTCATCAACTTCCTCGAACTCGCCAATGTAACCGTGCCTGGGACTGAGTCAGTATGTTGCGAAAGAATAAACATCGGACATCATGTGAAAGAATCCGAGGACGTGTAAGATCCTTCGCGAAAAAACAATCTATCGGGAACTTAAAGGGCAAAAGTCGTAGGGGTATCAAAACCATTGCCTAGTTATCAACCCGAAAGGATGAAAGAAAAGAGAGGAGAAAGTAGAAAAAGAGGGGGAGAGGAAAGAAAAGAAAAGAAAAGAAAAGAAGAAGAGAAATGAAACCTACTTCTGCATGGTCTGGAGGAACTTGATGATGACCTTGGAGGAAGGGCGGATCATGACCTGCCTCTTTCCAGCCTTCTCGGCGTTGTTGATGGCGTTGAGCGCATCGTTGAGAACGGAAGTCTTGACCATTTTGTCGGTATTGTAAGGAGATTCTCAATGGCAGGAGGGCGACTGAGGTATCTGGAGATTGTTTCGTTAGCCTTCAGAAGCCAGAGCCAGGAGAGTGCCCCTCAGCATGGAACTGGGGGTTCTTCAGCTCTTGTTGCGAAGGGAAGGCGTATCGCAGCCATCAATCAATGACGACGGTGCGATTGCCAACCCAGGCATTCTGAAGGGCACTCGGGAGGAGGTCGTCAGTGCACATACCTCGATTGTTGGGGGTGATCGTTGGGGTGAGGACGTAGAGCAGAAATTGTCGATGAAAAGAAGAGTCGCGAGCTTTTCTCGCGTTCTGTAGTGGAATTTTGCAAGAGCGACAGTGCGCTTGCGCGGAAGCGAGACGGGCCGAACATGGTCTGTGCGGTGGGGGTCCAGGTACGAATTAATCATAAGTGACACTGCAATTGGGTCAACCAACACAAGACATCAGATGGGAATTAGTATGAGTTCATTGATCCGATTGTTACCAGTGACTTGCCGATACTGTCAAGGATACGATTCCTATATGCCAATTGTCATATCACTGGCGCATGCGACATATCTGCGCGCGTGTTAGGGTACAGAGGACCTATTCGGACTTTCATCATTGGCACGTGAGATGCCGGTTTACTGATATCATGACGTTTTCCAACTGAGTACCCAGTACTTTTGTCAACAAACTCTCGCCTTAGGTCGACTCGCGTTGGAAACAACATACTACGTAGACTCTTACGTCGTCACAAACATAAGCTATCTTCGTCATGTCCTCGGAAGCTTGCTGCACATGCGCAGCGCTTCTCTCCTCTATTCCACCGACATACGATGAGAAGACCGAGAAGCCTTCTCGGTATGAACGGCGGCTTGAATGTTGCCACCGAGCAGTATGTGCGCGATGCATAACAGACAACCCGCGGTTCGCAACCTACTGTCCTTTCTGTCAAGTATCAATAGTACCTTCGTCGCTTCCACAAGGCTTGCTTCCACAAGGCTTGCGCGACCCCCCGGCATACTCGCCACCATCTGGCAGTGAGACTGTAGAAGGGATAACGGATACGGATGGACTTCCACCTTACACCACACATAGCTCTCTAGACAATGGCCGAATCATACCACCGAAAAGCTCCGTTGAGAAAGCTGCCGACGTGCTACACTTCGTGGACCACGACCTTGACTCCGTTGCCTCGTTATCTTTACGATATAATGTTCCTGCGGATGCTCTCCGGCGAACGAACGGACTCTATGCTGATCACTTATTAGCAGCACGCCGTACCGTCCTGATACCAGGCGAGTTCTATAAAGGAGGCGTGAGCTTAAGTCCAACACCTTTGGAGAGTGAAGAGGAAGAAATCCGGAAAGGCAAAGTGCGCAAGTTCATGGTCGGATGCAAAGTTGCCGAGTGAGCAGAACCTTACTATATTTGTGAGATTATGTTCGTGAATATTGGCTGACCAAGAGGGAGTCTCGCTCCTCGATATAGATATGACATGGCGCTTATGTACCTCCAACAGGCAGACTATAATCTCGATGCAGCCATCGAGGCATTCAAAGCTGATGAGCGGTGGGAACAGAAACATCCGCTCGAAGCCGCCAGGAAGGGAAAGTCGAGTAATAGTGTACAGGGCGTTGGAAAGTGGAGATGGGCTTTTGGCGGCAGCGGGGGAGGCCTCACTGGCCAGTTGACTTGAATCGGAACTTTTGACGCCGAATTCTGACTTTGACCCTAGCTGGTACTTTGTATGTACATACATACTTGTACAAGTATCTCTCAACTGCATAGACCTAGACGATTGAATGATACTCGACTCGCGTTTAACCACGTTGTTCAGCCGTACCCGTACTATTATTTGTGCGAGTACCATCATTTGCATGGACAATGGCGATTAGTAGTGTTCTTCATACAATGGAGGAGTTAACTAGGCCAGACAGAAACCATGCCATGGGCATATAAAACTCATTCTAATTGGGTACATCCAGTCCAAACAAAAGGAAGGAGAACTTTCTGCATATTTCTGCTCTCTGCGTCTTGCAGTATTGCTCTTGTAGATGTTGTGGGGACTCCTCCTACTGTGTACAAATACAGTCATTGATGTTTTCGTGGTTGGCTGTGGGACACCAATGGCCTTACAGCATTTAGCGCCGACTCGAAGCCCTAACTACCACGACTACCTGCCTGCCTGCCCATGTATGGACATGAACATCATAGAAGCGCTGGCTGTCACTTTGCATATTACCGTTTCAGACACTTACCCCCTGCCTAATGCCTATCCCTTTCACCTGGTTGGCCAAGTCATCATACCCCATCGCGACCAGCAATCTGGACGAGCGCTCCGCTAGCCGAGAGATGGAGAAGATCGCAAGCCCCGGGTGCTTATTCGGGCCCCCCAGGGCCGCGACGAGAGCAAGGGGACGAGACAGCTGCATAAAGGTCTATTATTGGGAGATGGTGGAAATAATCACTGCTAAATGCGCTCGACTCGGATGTCACCACGAACTGAAGCCGTGCAGCTTACGCGCTGGGCGTTGAACCCCACGCATCAAAGCAGAGCACCATGCTGGGATTGTGATCAATAGAGAGCGATGGGCCTTTTGCTTGCCGCTGTGAGGGCCCGTTTGGTGCTACTCTTTTATTTTTGGCGATGCAGGAGGGTTGTATGGATGGTGTAGGCCCATGAAACATCCACCGCGACCAAGCTGTTTTAAAGGCAAGGTCAACCCACCCCTTTGTGCGTTCTCATCAAGACACTCAGGCCAAAAGGTTTATACTTCGAAGAGGGAAGCTTTTCTTTGAGAATTTGTTTCGTTCCTTTCATTTCAGTCTCCACATTTCTTTCTTCCCTTGTTCGATTCTTATTTTCGAAGGTTGCTCCTGGTTGTGCTGCCTCGTTACTTTTATTCGCCATCTTTTCTACTTAGATATCTTTTCAGTACTAGAAAAGAGATATCAAACGGTCCTTCGTCAAGCAAAATCATCATACACAGTCGCAATGCAGATCAATCCCGCACCGCTCCACATGGCCCAGGCCATCATCATGGGACTATCGGCCGCGATGAGCGTCGCCATATTGGGAACAGCTGCACACACTCTTGACGTGTTCAACAAGCAACAATCGTCAAACCCATGGTGGCTTCCTCTCTGGCCTCAGCACTTTGATGTGAACGGCGCCAAAGCCCTGGTTGGATCTGCAGTCACGACACTTGTACTCTGCTCGGCCTTCTTGGTCGTCGCTCTCGTCCCATATGTGAGGCATCCCGGACATTCACTCAACGGAGAAGCCAACTAACCTTCAATAATAGTTCAACCTCGCGAACAAACACACTCTCCGAGCCCTTCTGGCTCTCGGCACCACCTTGCCGTCTACTCTCGTTACTCTCGTCACCGTCATCTATGCACACATCCTCAACCACAATGCTCCCGAACTCGACAGCATTCAGACATGGACATGCAAGTACAAGAACAGCCAGCCGATTGAAGAGGATATTTCCCTGCCGAAGGGCATGGGGAACGGCAACTTCGGTTCACTATGCAGGGAGAGCGTGAGTACCCCCCTCTCCATAACCCCAAGACTTTCTTCTGTTCTCTGTTTACTAATATTGTATTTTTCTCGGTAGAAATTCGCACTGTACGGCACTCTTGTTGTATTCTTGTTGCTGAGTGCTTCTATGGGTCTCGCCATCGTCACTTGGCTTGCCGACAAATGGGCTGCAAGGAAGACTCGCAAGGAGATGGACGCCAACGGCAATGCGATTAGCATGAGCTAGAGCTGAAGGGACAATTCGACTATAGCGAGCAGAACCACCAAGCTTGAAAGAGAAAGGATCTCTGGAGTGTCAGCATTGTACTGTACATTAGGTTCTTTTAGGGATGTTTTGTAATGAGAGGTAAACCATCTCTTCATACCCCAGCAGTTAGTTCAGCTCCGGGATGGTATGAATCAGAGAACCTGCATGGTCAGGTCAAACGTGCTGTCAAAGTACAGAAAGGAGTACCGCAGCGTTGTAATTTAGTATTTACGTGGAGATGTCTGAGTATTTTGGTTCTCTTCTACTTCTAGGCAGGCATCGGTACCTGCATGGCAAATGCCCACTCTATATAGGGAGTATGAGAACATAGTTTCCATTCACATGCGTTATTCTGTCCCACATCTAAGGTCACTGTTTAAATGTCTGAGTGACTTTAGATAATAATCAATTGGCTTCCAATCTGATTTCAAAAAATATCTATTCATTGGTGGTCTTGATGTCCAAGACTGAAGTTTACCGCCCTGCGCTAGGTTTGGTGCCTCCATGAATTAATGCCAAACGCCGTCTCCGATGACCAAGGTCCACCTCGTCAAGACTACATGCTCAAATACAATGGTGTCATTACAATATATATGTCGTGTCCAATCTTCTAGGCCAACGAGTACTCCATGATTCATGATCTCGTTTGGATATGCCGGGAAGAGTGAGACTTTATTTTCGCGGTCTTTGCCACAGATCTTCATCATCCGCCACGATGTGCGGTAGCTGCGTGGGAGATTGATTGGCCGAGTATTCAATGCCACAAGATCCGCGGTCCAGAGCGAGGGAGTTCAGTTGCCAGTGGAGCTGCTCGGAAGCATCGTTCGGAAGGCTGATACGTTGCGCGCGTGTCTGTGCCGGCCCGACAGACAGGTCCTTTGCCGACATGGCCAGGGAGAGAGAGTCTATCTCGGAAGCGAAGTCCGCATCTTCACGGCTCATTTCGAGTGCGGAACATACGTTGCTAGGCCGTGTCGTGGATCTTAGGTTCGATTCGTAGATCTTGTGATCGTTGGTGAACTGTACTTCGAGTTGGCGGTGCTCGCTGTACCATTGCTCGTACTGCTCTTTCGTCATCTCGCCAACTTCCGGATAAGACGCGTTGTGCTGGGATTCGCGTTGTTTCCAGATCTCGCCGGCCTCATTCTCCACACATTCGTGGCAATAAAATGGTAAGCCTGGGGCGTTGGCGAGTGGGTCCAGACAGTTGGTGCCGCAATCCTCCACAAGATCCGTCCGGATGCGATGCGAACAAGACAACTGGTGATAGAGACGCCCACGGCAGGGCGCAAATCGCCTTGCCCTGAAGTCATTTGTAGACGAAGTTCGGGACACTTCCGAAGTAGACAAAGATTCGGGGTTTACTTGCTCTGGGCCGGCACTCCAGCCAAACCGGCAGGCCATGACTTTATTCGCATGATCCATTGTATCGACTGATATTGATGAGGTGGAATAAGAAGAGGGGTGAAACACGGTACTTGAGAAATCCATCGTTCGAGTTGCCACACCCAGGATTCGGTGGAAGCACGCGAGTGTAACGAGTGATGAGAGGCTTGGTGAAGGCGTACAAGGACGAGAGACCGATCGTTCAATCGTGCAGGATTGAAAAGAAAGAAGGGATAGCCAGATAATAGGGAAGAGGCTGTGCAAGACGCCGGAAGAAGTTGTACGGAGGAGAGATATGTGGTTATGCAAACAGTTAATACGAGTAGTTAACTACGCGTGTCGCAACTTATCGTGTCCCCGTGATGCCAAGTTTTCCTTCACAACGAAAACTGTGGTACGGGGGACACATTATCTATCGAAAGAGAGTGAATTCTTTGAGGGTTTCGTACCACTCTCTAGTGTTGAACGAGTGGTGGCGAAATCAAGTTTCGAAGTCGTGCGATGGTGATGAGATATGTGTGTGTAGGGGACACGGGGGGGTGTATGGTTGAGGATGAAAGACAGACGGGGATGGTGTGAATGGAGGTTTGATGATGAGGGATGACGGAGGACGGAGGACGGAGGACGGAGGGAACGGGGGAGACGCGCGACGACACGAGACGGGGACACAATGAGAGAGGAAAGAGAGGGAGAGACAGACAGTAGCACGTAGGTAGACTTGGAGAGAGAGAGAGAGGCTGGGGCTGACGTAGAACCTTCTAGTCTGATTGGCCACTCATCCGTCTCAGAAGTAACGACAAGTACCTCCACCACCACCACTCCATCCATTTGTTACAGTGTGTACGGAGTAGTAATCACAGCTGGCCTATATCTCCACCAGCTTCGTCTTGCATACAAAGCACCTATCTTGAAACACTCAAATATGGAGGGCCTTGACCTTAACTGTTTCCAGACTGTCTCTCGCATCTTGTCGTCGCCGAATGTGGGGAAGCGATATGAATAAGTTCCTATACCCCCCCTCTCTTTCTGTTGGCACGTTCGGTGTCCGACATAGATGTGCTGACAGTGGTGTGGGGATCTTCCTACTCGATCTCATCGAGCGAATAGTCATACACGGGTGGTGCATGCACGTCTGGCTCGGACGAGGCGTACAATCTAGGTACCTACCTGTACCTATGTATGTAGGTACGGAGAACTGATGTTTGCTTCCTATGTCGCGCCCTGGGTTTGATAGGCACATCACATACGTACGAGTAACGGCTTCACGAGTAGCGGTTCACACAAACGATTCCATCCCATTGTTACAATGTTAGGGATTCCATTAATTTTTGCTTCATACTAGTGTTAATGTAGAAAGGATCATGAATCTAATGCTCTCCGTGTGCGTGTGCGTGTGTGCGTGCGTGATACAAAATGAAAATAAGGGTATCCATTCCAACCAGCCGATATAGCCTACTCGGCATCCAAGACTCCAAAACACCCGCATCAGGCATGCCTTGCCAATGATGCAAAGGAAAACAAAGGTGGTTGCAAGACGCCTTTCGGATGTTGCAACCCAGAAGGCAAAAGGCCAACAAACAGAAATAGCAACGAGTATGGGGATATCAAAAAGAAGGAGTATCGTGTCCGTAAGGTGGATGCCCACGAGTGCCACTCTGGCTGGTGTGCATCTATTAAACGCCGCCCATCTCGACCTCTGGGGCCGGGATATGCCACGGCCTCAGGAACTCAGACTCCTTCTCGTCAAAGTCTTCTGATGTGTGAACGTTCTCGACCTGCATATCCACATCTTGTACACCATCCTTGTATATGAGACTGTCGAAGTCAGGGACGTAACTACGTGGACCAAGTTGATGGTGTTTCCTAGTCCTGGGCTGCGCGAAAGGCCGTAATGCCGAGCCGCCTTGGGGCAATGAGATGTCGTTCCTTCGTGGTGTTTCGCTGAGGGGGCTTACGGGGACGTCGTCTTCGGCAACTTTGAGTGGAATCTTGAACGCAAAACCTGAGCCATTGGCCATGTTGAATGAATGGCCGGACTCCTTATTTCCTTCTGGTTCATCTCTCCAAACTCTCTTGTTTCCATTTGATAGTTGTGCATTCTCGGTACGGTCCGATACAGGGCCGGTGACAATGGCATGCGTGGGGAAAGGCTGATTGAATGCCTCTGCAGGTAGAGGAAATACTGTTAAAGGCTTATCCCCAGTGGGATCGTAGAGATGTACATTGGTGACAGGCTGCTCCGCGTATCCGCCAATCTTGTGTAGCCCACAGAAAGGAAGCAATTCTCGCTGGTGTTGTAGGCCATCCTCGACAAACCCAGCAGCTGGTTTTACCACATAGGTCTCTGTGGTGGACGGGGTTTTGGAGGAAGCGGACGAGAGCAGAGTAGTCTGGATCGAGGGTAGGGCGGTCCCATTTGAGGATTTGAGAGTTTTGTAGCCCTCAGGCACAGCTTTTCGAACGCGCATGCCGACGCTTAATAGTGATGCTTGGACAGAGCCGGGCACTTGTGGGAAAACCGTTTCGTTGTGAGCGCGCGGGAGCTGAGGATGTTCTCGATGTTGTTGCTTCGTTCGGGTAATCGGACCAGGGCCCCGCCCAGTAATGCTGCTGCTGCTGCTATTGTTATTATTATCTTCGCCCTCGCTGTCCTCCTCACAGTCCCAAAGCGAGTCTCCTTGCAGCGGTTGTTCCGGTTTGTGGTGGAAGTAGTGGGTGATTTCAGGCTGGAAGAGTCTTTTATTACGGTGGTCGTCGGCAGTGCAAGCTTCGTGGTAAACGTGTCGCATTGTTCGATGGAAGGGAAATTGACGAGGGAAAGGCAAAGAGGGAGAGGGCAATGAGATTGTGCATGTGTTAGGTTGACTGACTGCCCTGTCCTGTTACAGAATGTATGAGAGGGATTCAGGGAGGGGGGTGGTATGGTTGGATGGGGTGGGGGAGGGATTCACAGTGCAGTCGCAGTCGCAGTCGCAGTCGCAGTAGCGGGTGCCCACCCATAGCCCATCCATAGTTGGAGCCGGAACCCCCTGTTTGCGTTGGTTTAACTTTAGGGCCAGTAGGAGAGCCCCAGTAATCAATCAATAGTACGGAGTCCTCAAAGTTATTATTACTGTGTAGTGTGTGTATGTACACATGCGGAGTACACAGGGCGAATAAAATGTGCGTCTTACAGGTACTTCGTGCACGGTAGTTACATTGTATCTGGGTACGTACCCACCCGACTATGGTAATTATTCGCTGAGGTTAGAAGGGTACCTCATACAATGATCACTTTACCAAATTGTCTTCCTGTGTACACCTTACTCTGTATGTACAGACAGACATACATATCTAGGTATTTGACATAGTACAAATGACACCTCTCATTACCTACCTAAGTACTCCGTACGAGTACTTAGGTACAGGTAATGACCTGTACTCTACTGTGCCTCAATCTTATTATGATCTAATTACCCTACACAACGCCACGACGCCTATGCCGTGCACTGACTTGCTTGCTGCTGTCTGACTTGACACGACAATCAATCACTTGATTAGGTACTTCCATCGCCCATGTGCTGTCACATCACTACACGTCTACTCCAAACCTCCCTATCAATACGTCTTCAATCTGAGAGAACAAAAAATCTTCACGAAACGTCACCGATTGAGTTGGTATGATTCGATTTGATTGCTTTTACCAAACTAACAAATGACCCGAGCAGTTCTAGCGCCTGTTACGCCGGAAAATGTCAATCACCGAGAGAGAGAGATACAGGTACCTCTCTTAAACTATAAGCCACGAAGGATCATACCCATGCACCCCATACCCGTCATCCAGAACTTTACATGGAATTTATTTCCAGACACATCAGCCCCTCACGATCGCTTAGTCGCCCCGGTTGTAGACACCTACGACGAGCGCGTGGTCGCGCTCGAAGGGCTCTAGAGTCAACTGCTCCTTGGGCTTGATCTTCTCTTTCCTCAACTATTGCATCGTCAGTACAAGAACGTCGGAAATGTGGATAGTCATTGTGGCGCTAGCTCACCTTCTCGACTTCCATGGCAAAGACAGCCTCGGCAGCAGCGGTAGAGTCAATGCAACTGGCCTTGATACTGATGACGACACCGCCGCCAGCCTTCAGGAAGAGATGGGCATTCAATCCGACGATACGGGCCTGGTCAGGCTGGGCAACATCGGCTGTAGCAATTGGTCAGCAATGTAAAAACATCGTCGTCTGCAAAATGTACATACCAAAGATACAATCGACCATACCGACCAACATGCGGTATTTCTAGTAACAATCAGCAATCAACTCGATATGAATTACGTGAGGTAAAGGTCAAGAGCCTACCAGAGGATGACGAGCGTCCTCAACGATGGGGATGACGTTTGTCCTGTGAGTGGCCATGTTGATCAAATCACGACCAGAACGGTGAGAGAACCTGAAGACAGGAGTTAGCAACTGCGACTTCTATCCATTATGTCGGTGGTGGGCACTGCCAAATCACAGCGACCAGCACGCGATAACAAAATGTGGGCTCCACTTACTCAACAGCGAAAACAACACCCTCGGGACCGACGATATCGGCAACGTGACTGACACTGGTTCCCGATGCAGCACCAAGGTAAAGAACCTTTGAGCCAGGACCCATGTAGATGTTATCAACACCCTAGATAGGCGGTTAGATGTGTTAAATCGAAGGCGGATATGGAATAGACATACACCAAGGATACCAGCAGCCAACTTGGACCTGAAAGGATTCCAGACACGGTCTATTGTATATGTTAGTTTGTACGTTCCCGGAAGCTTGGGGGTTTGTCAGGGCAGATCACGTACACTCGGTCGTGGTAGCGGGCGCATCCGTGTTGTTGGCGGCAGCGGCAGTATCTACCATAATGTTAGTTTCAGCGTAGAACATTAGAGATCCAGGGCCTTGTACTTGAAATGCTGATGCGCTTCTCGCCATAGACGCTCTCGCCGGGAGTAAGGTTCTTCGTCACCAAAAGGTCTTCCTTGCCCTGCTAGATGTAAGTGGGAAAACTTTAGACGCTCAACTCAGAAGGACTTACACCTCGTGCGACGAATACACCAGCATGTCGGTGAGGCTCAATAATCACTTTGGCACCTCCTCTGGCACCAGGGGCACCACCTCCACGGCCACCGCGACCACCAGCACCGCGGCCTCTTGGTGCTCCTCTTCCACCACGACCTCCTCCTCCACGGCCACCGCCTCTGCCGAAAGAGCCTCCACCCTTCGAAAGTGTCAGTTTTCCATTCGCCAATTGATGTTTTCCTCAATGCTTACGCGTCCACCACGGTCTCCAAATCCTCCTCGACTACCGCCGCGACCACCGCGATCACCGCCGCGACCGCCTCGGGATCCTGCGATAAGTCAACATGCTGATTCTGGGGCGCGAAGAGTATGAGGAAGCAGACAGGAACAATCAATTCCTGCAGAGCATGATCGCGGAATCATGCCTACTTGTAAAGATTGTCCGATTGCCATAATTCCTATCACTGACCTCCTCTAGGGGTGAATGCCATCTTTTCTGCTTAAGGTGTTTGGTATCGGAAAAAAAAAGTTCTTGACACGGCTTGCTTCGAATAGGAGCAAGATCGAGTGGAAACGACGTGCAAGCTAGATAGATAGCTGCCCCTTCTGTTTTTACTGAGCGACCTTCGAGTGGTCTTCTTGTTGTTCCCGCTGTGTTGGTTGATGTGGCTGCTGTCGTCGATGAAGATAGCTTGAGCAGAACAAAGTTCGTCAACCTAGCTTCGCAAGAATTTCGCAGCGCGCTACCCTGAGTCGGGTATAGACTGGAAAATTGGCTCGGCAAAAAGTCCAACCTTAGCCCGTGCGTCTACAATATCCCAATCCAATTGTCTCCAAGGGAATATACACAGTACATAGTTTTAAAAGCCCAGCGCATTGATTCAATCTCGGGCGTGAAGGGATCATACGGAGTCCTAAGCCATACATTTGTGTGTAGTAGTAGACTATAGTATGTGTACCTAGGTACATGATCGCTGCACCTTATCCGCCACTACAATCTCATTGATGTACGAACGGTTTCCCTGATGAATCTCCTTACAGTGACTGTAAGCTAAGTATTGTGATAACCGTACGTTCAGGCCATCTTGAGTAATATTCAAGCGAAGGGCAAGTTCATCTCGCAATCTGTGGGTATGGTGATGTATCTTCCGTTATGGAGATTTATAGTACCAGTGTGGTAATCATTCCTTTCGGCTGTCCTCTATCACATGACGCTTTCATTCTCCGTAGGCATTGTCGAACTTTGCGAGAAGATCTATAGCTTTACCTAGGATATACAATTGGTCGTTCGTGGAACATAACGCCCTTTGGTATTTCTCCGCATCAGAGACGACTGCAGCACACGGGTGTGGCAAATACCTTAGGTTCCTAGGTAGGTAGTCAACACGACAAGAAGCTTTAATCACGAAATGGCTCTACTAAATAATACAACCTGGAGATGGAATGCATCTTTGGTAATGATACGAAGCAAAAGAGAGAAAGATTATTTCCCCTTATGGGTTGGTTTGCTGCTGGTCGAAGTAACTCCGTGTTTGTTACATGCAAAGTCCAAGGAAGCTAATAAAACCCGATCGGGTTTAGCGCCCACCATGCCTCGCCAAGTAGCGCACAACTTTGCGAAAATCAAGCGAGAAATCACAACGACTTCAATCGACCTCTCTAACTAACATCACAGGACTCATTACTCCCGGCACGACAAGATGGTAAGTCTTCTCAACTACCCATCATGAGCACTCCGATTGCGAAATATCCATCATTTGCTGTTATCGAAACGATCTACCAGGAATTTCGGCATGGACGTTGTTTGCTGATTCGAACGACTACAGGTTCGTTACGCTGCCACCGAGATCGAGAACGCAAAGTCCGCCCGGGCTCGCGGTTCATACCTTCGCGTTTCCTTCAAGAACACCCGCGAGACCGCGCAGGCCATCAATGGCTGGAAGCTCGAGAGGTTGGTTTCACTCAACAATGGAGGACTCACGAGGCACAACTGAGACGAAAACTTTAGGGCCCTTTCCTACCTCCAGAACGTTACCGAGAAGAAGGAGGCCGTTCCCATGAGGAGATACGCCGGCAGCACTGGACGCAGCGCACAGGGTTAGTGAATTCCACGAAATTAAGTCGATTCGATATCGGAGTAGGAGGTCTCGGAGCGCATCTAGCATGCTTGGGATACTGTCGTACTGGGTTGGACAATTCGGCTGACTGTCCATGTAGGAAAGCAATTCGGTGTCTCCAAGGCCCGCTGGCCCGTCAAGTCCGCCGAGTTCCTCCTCGGTCTCCTCAAGAACGCTGAGGCCAATGCCGACACCAAGGGTCTCGACACCAGCGCCTTGATCGTTAAGCACATCCAGGTGTAAGCAAAATTCGCAAATGCGGGGCGGTTCGACGACTGACAATCTATACAGCAACCAGGCACCCAAGCAGCGTAGGCGCACTTACCGTGCTCACGGTCGTGTATGCATTTACCCCCGCATGCCTAAAAGTTATCGACGCTGACCCTATAATTTAGATCAACCCCTACATGAGCTCCCCATCGCACATTGAGGTTATCCTTACCGAGGGTGAGGAGGTTGTCGAGAAGTCAAAGGATGTTGAGGGTCTCCGATTGAACAGCAGGCAACGTGGCCAGCGCACTCGCAGGGCTATCACCGCCGCATGAAGAGCGAATGAAAACGTGCGATGATGGTCAAGTGGGTTAACATCCGGCTACAGCAAGTATCTGGCTGGAGACGGCAAGAGGAACGGCATGGGAGTCAATGAGCGAAATGATTCATAGGGTCTTTCATCCTCCGGCATGATTGGGGTTTCATCTTCTCCGGTGTCTGGTCGAAAAAAATTCAAATAGGCTACGGCCGTTTCCAATACATGAGCGCTTCAAGTGACAGTGCTCCGGTCCCTTTTTACAATGCCAACCTTTGCTCACAATTACTGATGCCGGTATAGGTGGCGTGTGACCCTTTTAGTGAGATAATGATCAATATATTGACAGGAGCGTATGATGACTACCAGAAACCATTGACGTATACGGTCAACATCGCTAACGCAGCTACAAGGCCACCACTGACTCTAAACCCACTCGCTGCACCTTCGCCCTCACCCTTCTGGCCCTCCTTGAAGCCGTTCTGCTCTCCACCCATGTAGAGCGCACCCAACTCGGTCAAGCCACCTTTTTTGTCGAACAACGCAACACCATCTCCCGTCCACTCATTCGCATCGCTTGATCGAAAAGCACCAAACCAAGCATATCTTTCAACATAATCCAACCCATCCAAATAGCCCAGACTAGAGTTCATCATGGCCACGGTCGCTTTTTCATCGGCTTGCGGCAGTGCCATCTCTGTGACCCAGATCTTCAAGTCCAACGAGGCGTTCTTGTTGTAGAACTCATCCAGCGTCCCCAGCCAGCTGGTCAGGCCGTCAAACGCGCCATACCAATGTGCGGCGATGAAGTCGGTAGGGCACCCATTCTCCGAGTCGATCTCGTAGCAGGACTCGTTGAAGCGCCGAAGCCACTCCAACCCCATGGGGGAGCCCGTCGTGCTCGGGTGCGAGATCTTCCATTTGCGGCCGCCGTTCTCGCCATTGCGGTATGGCACTATGTGTTCTATGTAGGCCTTTGCGGCATCCTTCGGTTCGATGCTCGAACCGCCACTGTCCTTTGTGCCGTCTGGTTCGTTGAAGCTCAGTATGTGGCTAGAGGATTCGGGTAAGGAACCGATCACGCGGGCGGTCTGAGAGTCCTCTGCGCCATCGATTCCGTGGATGAGAGGAATGAATTCCAGAGGTCCATCGCGAGGTATTTGATCGGTATTCGGGTACGGAGACCAGTTGTAATACCAAGATAGGGGGGTTGAAGAAGAGATCAAAAGATTGTTGTCGGCACGATGGGTGTCTCCCAAGTAAGCTATGCCACGCTTAGAATTGCGATTCGCTTGTGCGAGGACTGCTGGGGGTGAAAATAATAGAGCGACGAGTGCAGCGAAATGCCATCCTGGACGGCTTTGGTTGATATTACAAGAAAGCATGTTTGGGGGTATATGAATGTATATCAGTATCGTAAAGTCGTTAGGTATTGCGAAACATGAGGCTCTAAGGATTTCCCAGGAACCAGGTATGGAGTCTATCTTTAACGATCGCACGTCGAGATCAGAACCGGATGCAAGGCACCAAGAACAAGGTCATATCTCGAAGCATCATTGTACGGAAACAGGACTTGATACGTCCAAGTCTGATGCCAGAGGAGACAGATGTGGTGAGGTGTGGTGGGTTGTTGGCCATGCTGGGCTGCTGGGCTTGCGTCATAGAATGAAACTTGGCAGACGTTGGAGATGGCCGGTAGAGCATCATTTCCGAGATAACAACGTGGCTGAAGCCTGTCCTTGTAGGAACATCACGAAGGGTTTCCTGTTGGCGGCGAAACAAAATATCGAAGATACTCGCAAGAGGAAATTTGGGGTACTGGTATTGATTGGTAGGATTACGAGTAGGAAACTCTTTCAGTTGAAGTTAGTGGTGATGAAAAACAATAGCTAATTACTGGTAGCGTACCTTACACGCCTAAGTTTGGTACCTACCTAGGTAGGTACTCCACACATATAATGTCTGTACCTCCGCGCACTCTGGTGTTCTATGTATTGGAACAATAAATAAACTCATACAATCATACATAAAGCATATCCCGTGATGAAGTGAATTGAAATGAATTCGTCCCGTCAATAAACATCGAGGCGGCGGCGTATTAATGATGGGCGGATAAGTACTGTATGTTCTCGTATTATCCGCTAGGCGACCAGGCTTGTGCCAACAGCCACCCGCAGCAAGAAAAGGTACCTAGGCACCTACTTGTAGGTAGCTAGGTAGCCAAGCAGGATAGTCGAGCAAAGCATCCCGAGACTTCTGAAGCTTTGTGGCTTGATGGAACAAGCAACTTTCGCTCTATAAATTCTGTAACTACGAAGTAGGACCAGTTCCCCTACCAACGTAGCGTTTCAACAATCAAGAGCACACAGATATCTATCCACCTAAGGTCTTTTGCTTCTCCAAGAAGATGCAATCGTTGTTCAAGCAGGCCGAAAAAAGATAAAGAAGGAAGAAAAGGATTAGAACATGCATCAAATGAGGGAGAATTGATTACATTATTATGTAGCTATCGTTTGTTCAAGTGGCCTCCACTTCGGATTAATACTCGTATATGACCCCGGATTTGCCAGTGCGGGTGGGAGGTGCCCCTTCCCCTCATCAATTCGTGCGTGCTACGGTACCTCGTAACCTCGTGCCATCTCCTCCGACCCACCAACCCAAACCCCGTACAGCACATATGTACGACTGTCTTCCGTCGTCACAGTACATATTGTATAGGCGCTCACTGTCGGCCCGCTACTCCATTTCCCCAGCTGATCCCACACTCGCTGCTCATTGCCTCATTCTTCCTTCCTTTCCCCTCCACGTTACATCCCAGTTAGCCTCTTAGAGCTGGTTATATCCGCCATTCTCGTACCATGGCCGACCTGACTCCGCACAGTCGAGGGTCCGAGGCCGGGGAACGGGACAATATCCTGCGAGGTGACAGTCTACAAACATGTAGGTACATAACTAATCAAATGCTCTCTCAATACGGACGGCTTCTCGCATACCCTGGCCAGCAAATCCTGTAATTCTCTGCAAACCGTATAAAGCTTTGTACTACCCCTCATCCTTCCTGAACCATCTCTTACTCCGTGAGCCCGGCCCGATGATTCTCTCTTTCGCCCTCTGATCATCTCCTGCATCGCGTAGTACATGAATGATATATTCTGATTGCATCTTCTCCAACTCTAGTATCTCAGGAAGGCGTGAGCTACGGGACCTTTGCTTCGAATTCAAGTACCGACAGAATGGCTTCTGCACCAGATCACAAAGCAGCAGCGGATCACATCTCAGATGATGCGATCCCAGTCACGCATTCCCCTGGACATGGCGCATCGAGTTCGAAGCTTGAGCCACCGCCACTGGTGGCAGCGATGACACAAGAGTACCGTATGCAGGCCGAAGCTACGCTTAGGAACAAAATCGATACTCGATTACTTCCTATGATCATACTTATGTATATCATGAATTATCTTGACAGAAATAACATCGCTGCTGTAAGGCTTGCTGGACTGCAAGACGAACTCGACCTTTCGAGCGTACAATACCAGGTAGGAAATGCCAAATCCATCAGTTAAATCCATGGCTGATGTTCATTTAGACAACTGTGTCCATCCTCTTTGTAGGATACATTCTGATGCAGAGTATGCCTTCCCCCTAGTCTTTTGCCGATTAACCACTGACATCTTAGTCCCCTCCAACCTCTTCTTGAATAAGACGGGCCGGCCCGCAATATATTTACCAACCTGCATGATTATTTGGGGAATCATCTCTGGAGCTACAGGCGCGTGTCAGAACTTCGGAGGCCTTGTAGCCTGTCGCTTCTTCTTGGGCTTTATAGAAGCGGCATACTTCCCGGGATGTCTTTTCTATCTCTCTTCTTGGTATACGCGGAAAGAATTGGGGTTCCGCACCGCAGTGCTTTACTCGGGCTCCCTTATTTCAGGAGCATTTGGCGGCCTTGTCACAGCGGGCATCACCAGTAACATGGATAACATTCATGGCTTGAGGGCCTGGCGCTGGTAATTTGGCATCTGTGTCTCACTCATCATGGTTTACTAATTCGCAAGCAAGGGTCTTTATCCTCGAGGGTATAATCACCGTCATCATAGCTGTCAGCGCATTCTGGGTCCTCCCCAACTTTCCCCGAACCACAACCTGGCTCAGTGAAGAAGAGAGACAACTTGCAGCCTACCGTTTGATTGAAGACGTTGGTGAGGATGACTGGCAATCATCCGAAGACCAGAGCTTCTTCAATGGCCTCAAACTGGCTCTCCTCGACATCAAAACATGGGTACTGACTATCCTGCTTCTATCAATCGTCTCATCTGCCTCCGTTACCAACTTCTTTCCATCTGTTGTTAAAACACTCGGATATGGGAACATCGAGACCTTGCTCCTTACCGCTCCACCGTATGCGTTGGCAGTCATCACGACGTATCTTAACGCGTGGCATGCCGATCGTACGGGAGAGCGATTCTTCCATATCACGATCCCTCTCTGCGTGGGAGTCGCCGCCTTCATCCTTGCTGCGGCCACAAAGTCTACTGCACCTCGTTATGTGGCCATGATGTTGATGGTTCCAGGGGTCTATACTGGTACGTTCATCTCATATTACTTGCAGTGTTATATGTCCGGCTAATGCGATCAAGGATACGTCGTTGCATTGGCTTGGATATCCAATTCACTTCCTCGCCCAGCTGCGAAACGTGCTGCTGCCTTGGCGTTCATAAACGCCATATCGAATACTAGTTCCATCTATGCGAGTTACATGTACCCGCAACCCAAGAAGGGACAGCCCGATCTGACTATCCCATTGAGCGTGGACTGCGCGACAGCGGCACTCGCAATCATCATGACAGCCATTATGAGGATCATATTGACAAGGCTGAACAAGAAATTGGATAAGGGCGAGCACGTAGAAGGAGCTATTAATGCTGTTCCTGGTGTGGCGCAGGACCACGGCTTTAGGTTCTTGGTATGAAGGAAGCCAGTCAGCCGCAACGTCCACTATTAGACATTATGTACGGCGTAGAAGGAAAATAGTATCAGACCGAGGGTCGTGAATTTTATTCGTGCAAGGGCACTTTCCTCACCCCACAATCGGTGCCTTCCAAGTATCCCCGAATAGCGCAAGCGTCAACCTAAGTGTAGATACAGTACATTTCAGACGAGACTCCATGATATCTCCCAGTCGTTGCCATCCTATCTTCGCATTCAACCTCATTTTCTACGTTCTGATTAAAAGCTACAACAACGAACCGAACCAGGATGAAGGTCAAGCAAATTTACCTTCTTCGCGAAGGCCAAACAGCCGACAACTACTTTGACCCATACACTGGTGAATGGGGAGATCCCGCAACACCTACTCGACGCTTTGCAGACAAATCGCTCTCGGAAGCAGCTATTCAACAAATAAGAGGGACTGCACGCGCTCTCTCGCGTCTTAAACTTGAGAGGGTATTCGTAGCTCCACACTGGCAGTGCGTAGATACGATGTCCCGGATTCTACCTCACCTTAACGTCGCCGACCCTCATAGTGGCCTCATGAGTGTGGAATATGGTCTATCGTAAGTGCATGACTTGCGTAGCATTTTATTCAGAGTTGCTAACAGATTTCTTTTCGTTGTAATAGTGCTTGGGAGGATCCCTTCTATTTCCCGCCGGGTGTCAAGTCGAAGTCAGGAAATGCGCTACATCCTACGGCAATCGGCGTATTTGCTTCCAATTTCTCGAATATAGACACCACTTATCGAAGTGCCTGGTCCCACTCTCCTCCAACATGGGACGCGGGGCTGTGGAGGAGAGATGTAGAGGACAACCTGATTCCACCCACAAATACAGTAAGCGACCCAGACGAGTGGGAATCGATGCCCACATTCCTACTCCGGATCAAAGTCTTTCTGGATCAGATAACACGTTATCGTCACGCCAGGCGTCGGGCCATCTTGATATGTGCGACAGCTCCTGCCTTGCTTGCAATTGCTACGCTTCTGAAACACTGGCATTCATTGCCGTCCTATGATTACGACTCTCCAGCCAATATCGATGTATATCGCGCCTGGATGACAAAAAGTCTCAAGAAATTTCGGCGCCTCATGAAAGGGCCAACCTACTGGCGGGAGTTTCGCACTGGAAACCTCTACATTACGCGATATGACCGTACCTTACTCCGCAATTGGAGATTGGCAATAGATGGGAGACGTCGCCACATCTCGAGAAAAATCGATCAGGGAAATGAGTGGTACATGCCCGTTGATGCAAGATGGCAGTTGCGTCTGGTTCCCGATATTCGAGAATATGAGAAACATCCGATCGGTTGTATATACAACTCTGTTCATGATTTCGCGCTACAAACAACGGGAGAAGTCTTCGAAACCTATCTGGCACTTCGTCGCCATTTTGGAAGTAATCCTTATCATGTCCCGTGGTACATGTACATTGGCCTATGGTTTTGCCACCTAACGATGTGGTCATTAGCGCTGTACAAGATCGTACACACCGTAGCGTTGACCATAGAAGACTGGACTTGGGTGTACACACCAATGATGGCAAGCACGGTACAGTTCATGCTCTTCATGTTCCCGCCTTTGCTCGCTGCATAGACAACGATGACTATAATCTTACTAGCAGTCTGAACGATCCTTCAGCATTCAGAGACTTGTTCAGACAGCAATACTTGCGGTCTTGCTTAGGTGGGTGTTTCTTGCTTGATCAATGTTAGGTCCCTTTAGCTTTTAAAGTTTAGTATGTGGCTTCGCATCGAATGGAACAATTCTATACTGAGAAGCTGAGTTTACGAGATGGCCGAGTGCAAATTGATCAATTTTGAATACAATGAAGTTGCTGATTGGAAAGTGGCGTCACCTGATTAGGTGTTCCTGTGTTCACTTCGCCGTATTATTTCACTTTCACCAGCTTTCTATACCAACTCTGCGTGAAAGCCTGGCACGTGCGGAGCCTGACGTTATTTTGGACGTATTTCTTTTACTGCAACACGCAGATTGAGACTCACTTATCTCACACACATTTTCTCTCACCAAAGAAAGGTGGGCCTCGTTCCCTTCATCTTTGCTTTTCCCGCCAAACTCCCGAAGCAAGCTCTTACATAACACGGAGTCTGCAACCCTCCATCTATGTGTTGAGTTGAGAAACCTCTGCGGCGACAAACCCGTTTATGATCAGCTTTGCATTCGTGAGGCTAGAAGCAAAAATGATCGAGATGGCAAATGTCTACCGCCAATATGTGCCAACGGGCATCCTTCCCTGTGCTATTTCTGCGACTTACATGGGGGCCTTCCACCTTCTTCGTTGCGGTCACATCGTTGCTGTCTGCGATGACAATCACCAGTGCGCAAGGAACTGCCTGCATGTAGTCCTCACCCTGGGCGCCGGCCACGAGGCCTTCCACAAGCACATCAAACAGGACGAGTTGGTTTGCCCGTCCTGCTTCAAGATCTCATTTTCGACGCTCAAGGCCAATTTCCATGACACTCCTCTCGTGAAGGCACTACGTCCCACCGTCTCGCTGACCCGATCTCTTCTCAAACGACTCGTTCCGGCTCTGAGCGACAAAGACTTCCTACCCAACCAGTATGGTGGCCTTCTGTCGGCTCAATACACCAACCCAAACCAAGACTTTCTGGACTACAGGCAGATCCACCATTTGTCCTGCGGACACGAAGTCTGGGCACTTCCGATGCGCCCATGTGCAGCTAACTGCAGGAAGACGAACCCAATGTGCAAAAGTCACGGCTTCCCACAGAATGCTACGCAAGCAGATGCGATCATATGCTCTGAGTGTATGCTCAAAGCTGAAATGATAGAGGATCGCAATGTTGGCCCCTTGCTGACGTTTGATCCGTTGGAGGGGAAATGAGTTGTTCTGGGTAGCCATAAGAGGACCAAGGACGCGAGTGAGTCGATTCATCGCCCGTAGCGTGGAAGAAAAGACTATCACTGCGATACCGTATGGGGACGAGAAGGAAGATTCGCCTGATGCTGTCGCATGCACAGGTCCATCATTATAATGGCTTATTGGACTCGTGTATTTCTCGCCATAATTAGCACGTATTTCGCGTCAGGCAAGAATAGACGTATTTTAGCACATCATCACCATATGTGTAATTAGCCTCGACCTGATTCGTTATACTGTGACTTCTGGAATAGCTTGAATTTGAATATAGATAGATGACGTTCCTAGAGACAACAATTTGGTGTGCGCCACAAGCAAAAAGAAAGGTTTAATGCCTGCTACTACTGCAGAAAGGGATGATACTGAACAAGGATGAGTTTGCTCCATGATTGATTAAAGCAAAGCAAAGAAAAGTTTTGATGTATGTGTTCAAATGCCATGAACTATCATTAACATTCAACAAGTAATGACTTGAATTTGCCTCAGTGGCTCACCGTTCCATGCCAACGCCGGCCCCCGAAAGCCCCCAAGATGATATCGTACCCAAAACACAAAGAAAGAGATATTCATGCCTTGCACCGTCCATTTTATTCAAATGGAATATTCAGCTGGCCCTTTTGCCATTCACCGCCGGCGATCCCCCTGGTGAAGGCCGAAATATCGTCCCCATCTGTCTGGTAGAAGACATACAGACTGTCCCACACTGGCTTATCGCCGTCCATCTCCGTGTATGCGGTCGCCGTCAGATGAGTTCCACCCAGCGCGTATTCCGGCCCCGCAGGGTTTGTGATGGTGAATGTATCCCCAGACACGATGGTAGTATTCTCGGCTTGATATGTGACGTTGAACCCCGATATGGATTTGTCGGCCATCTGCGCGTAGAAATATGTCGTATAACCTAGCGATGACGTTGGGTAGACATCCGGGATGAGACCTTTCGTGGAGTTCTGCCACGACATGATAGGATGGGCCTGAGTGGACGTCGCGTTGGCGGTATCCTTCCACCAGATCTCGGTGTCGTTCGCTTTGTTGACCATCATGGTGTAGGTGGTCGTGCCCTCGCCCCAGCTGTAACATCCCACACCAGCGTGGGTGTTTTTGCCCTGCCACTTGTCGAGCGCGCCCCAGTCTTCGAACCCGGCATACCAGGCGTATTGCTGGAAGGTCGAATCGTCTGTCGCGAACCATATGTTCATCCCTTGGATATCCTCGAACGGTATCTTGTTTTTTTCGCCGCTTGGTGTTGGCATCTTGGAGTAGTCCGAGTCACCGTAGAAGTTGCCTTTCCAACATGCCTGGAGTCCCACGTTGCCGGGAGAGTCGTAGACCGTAAGGTTCAACTTGCTTAGTGGACCTGGTTGCCAGATGTTGCTCACATTGGTTTGGGTTACTTGTCGGACGATGTTTTCCTTCGAGATGTAGAAGACGTGGAACTGTAAATAAATCAGCAGTGTATCAAGACAACCTTATGTCGGGCAGCGTACATATTGTGTGCTATTGATGGCAAAAGAGACAGTCGATATAGCTGTGCCGTTCTTTGCATCAGTCGCAACCGTCTCCGATCTAGTGCCGCCGATCCATTTCTTTTCGGTCGTGTATTGCATGAATCTGATGTCGCCCGTCCAATGCTGGAAGTAAAGTGTAAAGATCCTGCGCTTGTCTTGGCTCCATGACTCTCCAGCTAGAGCGATACCCGAACCGTTGAAAGCTCCCTTCTTAGAATAGTATTCTGTTCCAAGTGCACCGCCGATACACAATTCCGGATGGTCGTTGCAGAAAGGAGCGACCCCTTTATTTTTTGGAGAATCGCTGTAATTGATTAGTTATGGACATCCATACTGCTGTCTGATGACTTACGACGAGTCCTTATCTTTGAGACCCAGACCTAGACCAATTCCAAGAGCCAAAGTTACCACCACAATAGCAATGATGGCGGCTATTACGATGATGTTGAACGTTCTCTTTCTGACGCCGCATGTTCTCCTCCCCTCTGCGGGAGGTATGGCCGAGGCCTCTGTCCTTGGCTCAACCTTGTCGTTGAGGTTGAATGGAGGGACGCGGGGGGAATACAGGGTCGCATCCCCGTGAGATGAAGGAGACAGCGGTCTATGTTGATGCTGGTCGTACAGGTAGGCCTCGATGACCTCTGGAGCCTCGTGGCCCCGTGGCGAGTCTGGTGGCGCATCGTACGAATATGTGGACTTTGATGTTGGTGGTCTTGACAATTGTAAGTATTCAGTCTTGGGTTAAAAGCATTTCAGTCTCGTGTGCTTCCGAGGAGCATCATCATCGCGTGTACTTACGGTGATGCCCAGCGTCCTTCAGTAGTTATAGTCTGCGGTGGACTCCCATTTACGCTCATCTCTTGCGGCTCTCGATAACCCTGAGGCTCTGAATATGATTGAACACCCATATATTGCTGTGGAGGACTCCATTGGCCCTCGTGAGTGCTTCTTGAAGCCTCGTAGTGGGACATTTTGATTTTCAGCGGGCAGCAGCAGTGCAAAGCAGCTGGCGAGGGAGATCAGGGCATACGCCCACACTTATCGCCTGCACAATCATCTCCTGCTGCATGCTAGTGTCAGCACACAGCACGCCCACGAGAGGCGGTGGCATTGCGAGCAGTGTGCTGCGGTTGATCCCAGAGATCCAGGGTCCTTGGCAAGCCTTTTCAGCCGGGCTACAGATGCGGTTACGCCGTCTTACTCTCCAGATTCCTTCAGCTTCAGCAAATGGAAGGGAGCCGTTTGTGCTGAGAATGAGAAGCCACGCCACAGTCGCTATGTACAGCGGGGATCCCGTAGGAGCTGACCGCTCTACCGGTGATTGACCAAGGACTACGACACGGAAGATAAAGCCATGCTACACTGAACACCCAACATACCCCACGGTACATAAGTTTACTGCAAACTCTGTTATTTCGAAAGGTAGACGGGACGGGGATACTCATGCCGTGCAACCAAAGATCCTCGTTAGGTGCGCTGTGATGTTGAGGTGTAGGTGGGGCGATAAACCACCCAATCACCAGTAGGATCAGATCCGATATCCTGGCCTGCGAGCACGAAATTCAAAGTCACAGCATACAATGTTCTAGCAAACGTGGCTATTGGCTGGAGATTGCTGACCGGGGAAGTTCTTGTAATGACAGCGAGAAGTTTCGAGTAATGCCCAGGTCTGGCGTAGTGTGGCTCCAGCAAACAGCAGCCGTTGACTCTCCAGCAGGCGAATAACTCCGACAAGCTCGATATAACGATTGGGCGAAATAGACGGGAAATATCCGTTAGCGTTCGCTACCCGGTAAGGCTTAGGGCTGGTACTCCAGGAATTGAAACGATTGATTGCTCCGTTTCAGTAGCCCGCTGGAGCTGAAGATTATAGTGCAGAAGCGGACACCTCTTACCCAACATGGGGCGATCTGCTTACCCGATCAAATTCTGTACAGACATAATCGCGTGCAGTCTTGATACAAGGGCGTTGAAACTTGAAGAATACGGGATTTTGAAGGCGGCGTATAAGAAAGCATAGCCCGTACGCCTTTAATGACTGGTCTCAAGTTCGGCATGTTTAGTCGGTGTTAGAGGTGAAAAGATCAATTCGATGATGTTGTATGATATACCTGATAGGCGAAAGAAATGACGGATCAGCTACCAGAAGGCGAGATCCACGTCTACCTACATCCAGATGGCTGATATGGCTTTCCTGGCGTTCTGATAGTCGATGCAGAATGTCTGGTGACCAGATTATATTTGCGCCAGCATTAACTTGCCTCTCCTGATCGAAGCCTTTTTTTTTCCAAAACGTATATGCTGTAGTCAATTTCTATTGCATGGCGCGGCCAATCTCGATAGAGGCTACTACTAAGACGCCTAGCTCGATTCAGCATATGGTGTTGATCTCTGATGGCATATGGCATTTTAATACAGAGAATTTGGAATGTGTTAATAAAGTCTTGCTCATTAGCAATACATCGTATTAGCTATATCTCATGTTTTGAGACAGCTAGTAGGGATGTAGCCATATTTTAAGAAAGAATATTAGTCGTTACACAATTAGCTGCTCGTAATGCCTATTGTTTTACAGTGTTAGAGTTAAGAACCATAGACAATAATTAGATACGCGGCAGGTTCAATATTGAAGCTGTAGCTGTATATAGCATTTCAAGCTATATAGAAGGAAGACAATTTAGATAGCGTACTGTGGAGTCGATGCAATCACCTTGAGAGCCTGCATGGCTGGACATACTCGACCCTCCTGCCTAGAAATTCGGCCCAATGCAAATAGTATAATGTACAGACAACCGCGTGCCTCTACAAAGAAAGGGATTCCTCTGTGCGTCGGAATATGACGGAAATCAGAACGAGGTAAGAATGTCACTTAGTGTAGCTAACTAACTAGTTAGAGAGTGTAGATCGAATGATTTGTAAGGAGGGAACATTGTGCAATAAGGCATGTGCAATAAAAACCGCCAGTCTCCCAGCAAAAGTAACTATGGCACTTCACGTAGAGTTAATTATGGAGCATTCACTTCCCTCCCACCACCGCGCCCTTGTACTTGACGACCGACGATCTGGCTTCGAACTCAAAACGATCCCAACTCCATCACCGGATCCCGGTAGTGCTGTCGTTCAGATCTCTGCGGCAGGAATATTACCTTATCACCACCAAGTCTTGCGCCATTATCCGATTCCAACACCATTAGTGGGTGGTTTTAGTGCTATCGGTCGTGTCGTGGCCACTGGACCAGACGCGGTAGCATTGCAACCAGGAACATTTGTCTATGTCGACTGCGTCATACGAGCACGGGATGACCCGGATTCCCTCTTCCTGTCTGCGATTATTGAAGGGTTCACTGATGGCAGTAAAAAGTTAATGCGGGATGTCTGGCGCAATGGAACATTTGCAGAATATTCCAAGGTTCCATTGGAAAATTGTATTCCGTTGAATGAGGCTCGGTTGAATACTGAATTGGGCTATTCGATTCCGAGTCTGATGTATATGGCTTTCTTGATGGTCCCTTACGGCGGGCTCAGAGACATCAACGTTCAGCCTGGGGAAACAATCATTGTGTGTCCAGCGACAGGAGGATACAGTAGTGCAGGTGTTCTAGTAGCCGTGGCGATGGGGGCGCGGGTCATTGCTATGGCACGCAACACCGAAAAACTGGCATTGTTAGTAGAGCATGTTAAGCGGGTACTACCAAATGCAAGTATTGCGACAGCGCAGATCACAGGCGACGAAGCAAAAGATGCAACCACGCTGCGTGAGTTTGGGCCCGCTGATGCCGTATTGGATCTGACGCCGCACGCTGCATCGTCTTCAAGCCACACCAGGAGTGCTATAAAGGCGCTTCGTCGTGGTGGGAGAGTCAGTCTGATGGGTTCCACCGAAGGGATTGGAGCACCAGAGATCATGATGAACGATATCACACTGAAAGGTTGGCCACTGAAGCTCCTGACTATTGTGACAGACGGTTGCTAACAGCATACAGGGAAAATGATGTATGACAGACTGGACATTCTGTCATTCGTCAAAATGCTAGAGTGTGGTTTGTTTCCCCAAGGCGAAAATTTTGCCAAAACGGCTGTCTTTAGTCTCGAGCAATGGAAAGAGGGCCTTGATGCGGCCGAGAACCGTTCTGGAATTGGTCAGTGTACGGTGTTTGTCCCGTAGAGACTGGGGATGGATACTAGAGCTATATCCGGAACGAGGGTTGGTGACTTGACTTTCTGATGGCGAATGTAGCAATAAGAAGCAAGTGTTTCAAGCAACGCCATTATTGAAATGATACTTCTAAGGGTACACCTAAAATACAGACTTTGTTGGCCCAACTTCAACAGATCCTGCTCACTATGTCGAGCCTTATTTCCCCTTCTCATTTGATAAATAGTAACTCATCTGTCCGTCCGTTCTCCCTGGAATACGCAAGACGCAAAATACCGTAAGACTTATCACCAAACCCACCCTAAACGAGTCCAATGCCGAGATGCTTGTCGAAGTCCAGAAGCACTCCAATGATTGGCAAAAGCAAACTGGAATCACCGTATCTACGAGCAGGGAAAGCTATTCCCTGGTCTCGTCGTTCACTGGACGTCAGTACAGATGCTCTATTACCGTATTGTCATTGCCTTGTACAGCTCTTTTCTTGCCCTCACAAAGAAATTTGTGACACAGATAGATATCGCAAAGAACTTCCTGGTGAGAGAAATGATCACACATTTTAATTCTCATAACCTCGAACAGGCAAAGCACTTACTCATTCAAAGCCAAGCGGCTATTGCTCATACGATGTATGGCCATCGCTCATTAATGCAGCCAGGGCTCTCATGGCTACACAAAAGAGTCGGTCTTATCATCAACAGAGCCCGAATTCATCGGAACCTCAGCCAATGTTGAATCGAAATTGGACTATCGTCACCAGTTTCAAGAAGAATCTAACAGAATGGCAAACCGTTCCTCGCCACATTTCTCTAGACTCCGAATTTGCAGAATTGAATGTGTTCGCAAGTTCACCACTGTCAAACCTTATGTAGATGCCACCTAGAAACCAGGCTATCAAGGATATGGGAGAATGGGGGTCCACTGATGAAACCAGCCCAGATTTGGGAGGGAGTGGGCACTTACCTGACACACCTTTTTATACAGATTGCTCGGCCATTGCCAACGCTTATATCCATACAGATAGATAATTCTGCAAACTGCCTAGTCATTGATAAGTCAAGCAGCCATTCTGGCATGGCGCTCGACAATATTGTTGCGGCCGTCACGCGACTGTATAGTTGCTGATCTGGGAGAGCGTGCCACCGCTTGCTTAGAATATGTCGAAATACATGTTCACGCATAATATACGCGTGAGGATTTTGCTCTTGCCATACTACTCGTACGAGTTACAAGTAGGTACTCATGCAGACGTCTTCAACGCAGTTGTATTCCCAACAGTGGGGCTTAAAAACTCCGATATCTTTGTCCCAATATGTGGAGAGTGATGGCAATATAAAGACTCACTATTGGCCCTTTGTTGTATTCGAGGTTGTGCTGTCTCCAAACCCCTGTATTGTTCTCATATTGCTTGGTTGCGAACGGACGCCTTCTGCGAGGCTAAAGATGCGTAACCGCGCATAAGTACCTAGGGAATACATCTGTAGCCAAAGGCATTGCAATTCACGAGGATTCACAATGATAAGTATCTGTTTAGATAACGTTTAAACATGATAAACAAAGATTTGTCTGCAATCATTGGTAGAGTCCGAAATTCGCGCCCATGCCGCAACAATGACTAGGATCACAAGTAATGTTTGACGCTAAATCCTACAAAGGCGATCCTACTATTGCAACTCGCCAATTTACTCCTGCTGCGCCTCAAAGTACTTTCCGTGTAGTTTATAATAACCCAATCGCTAGTTCCTATAGATTGCTCTGCTGAAAGGTCACCATTAATCTATTCCTCGTCGTTTTCCACATGGCCCAAGAGTGGAAGTCCAAGGGCAAAATCAGATTTCCCCCACTACCATATGCCTTTCCTCCTGCTCTGGTATGCGGTGAACCTTTCTTCAAACTAAGTCGCAACGATATCTTGAGTGACGGAAATGCCTGGCCTACCATTGCCGTTCCTGAAACATGGATAACTGTTGATCCGGACGAAGGCTTCGTGAACAAGACAAAATCGTCTTACAGCCTGATTCTTACACGCAAATCTGGCCTTGAACGCAGCGAGAAGAAATTCGTTACAATATATCGTAGGGATCCCTTCAAACCTATCGCATATGAAGTAGTCATCCTCTATAAAGGAACAAATGCTAAAATCGTGATCGATCAGGAAACCAACAATTTGAAACCAGCTGGAGCCGCATGTTTCGCGAGGAAGCCGCCGAGCTCAAACTCCTGGGGTCGCCATCATGGCATGTCCACAAGGCAGTCACAAATCATCCAGATTGCGACGTTAAATACCACACTCTGGAGTACGCGACATCATTCCTTGGCGAAAGGGGCGATTTCCTCGCAGATCACGAGGGTAAAGACTGGATTTTCCAACTCTACCAGGGTGATTTGGAGGATGAGGCTGAGCTGCCAAATCTCGAACCGCTTGTTGCTAGTGAACTGCTGAGAGTTTGTGACGGGCAAGGGAAACATGTGGATAAATCAAATCGGTTCCAATATAGGTGTGTCTGGGAGGATGATGGGCCGGTTGTCGAAGACTTGAAAGGTTACACGACTTACCGAGGCTCGATTGGGAAGAACGGGTTAGTCTTAGAGACTAATGGGGGCAGTAAGTCCTTTTGGGAACATGCATCTCAGGTGTCGACATTTGAACTTTCGCTCGGCGGTCTCTTTTCGATGGTGTTCGTTATTTGGGGTATCTCAATACTAAGGAGGTGTTATAAGAAAGACAAAAGGCTCAAGTTGTAGGCTAAGATGGCTTGTGAGAATGGCTACAGGCCAGAAGACACAGCATTGTGAAAAAGATACTCTTTTTGGAGTTAAACAGGTCCAGGATCCTGCCGCCACCACCAGCGGTGGCGTTCGAGACACAAAGTGAGAGTACAATAATTTGAACCTTACTTTGTATCATTACTACCCATACCACAGTCAGTTCCAGTATCCAGTTTGAAAACCGTGACAGCACTTCTACCACATCGTCTTCGAAAAGGTGAGATGACGTTGGCAGGTATTAGATCGCGAAATTCAATAGAAACATGTATACTTTGATCATCCAGCTGACAATGTCCTTTGCGCCAGCACGAATTTCTTGATAGAACGACATTACAGGCATATCGCCTCAACTGAAATACTCTCCCCCTGGTTTATCATAGCTTATGAGTCATGCCGCAGCTAATCGAGCTCCTTGACAAGGCTCAATTCTTGTGACGACAATTAGAAAGCATCGTGACGTTGACCTATTTTAGCCATTTAGACGATTCCGGTAAAGATATGAGTGTAATCTGTGATTAACGACAACCACAGCTACACCTTCTAATCCATAACCAGACAGCAGTATTATTGCTATTCGGTGATTCGAGCAACATACTAATCATCAACTTGATTATACTGACAATAATGTGGCGCGATACATGGAAAGAATCAGATACAAGAAGAACATCCGCCACATCGGCATTCGGGTGTCCGATTCCTCCGACAGCCTTGCCTCTTTCATCGCAGTATGAAGGACGCGCACTCATGATTGCCTATGTGCCTGTCTACACCACACCATCTAGACGCGCGGCATTCGATACTTTCCCCTCTTCTGGTTTCGCGAATGTTCTGCTTAATGCGATATGGCTGAACTTACGCCGTTCTACTGGTCGAATGCATTGGCCAGAACTTGATCTTGGATGGCCGAAGTTCGAGGAGACGGGTGGCAAACGGCTTCGAGCGTACGTAGCACTCACGTGTGCCAGTGATGCCTGAAGACTATATTGTGTATATAAAGAGGCAAAGGAAAGGGGAGGTGACGTCTTCTTCGCTATCATCATATTCCCTATCATCAATATGCCTTCAGTCACCTACATGAATCAATCTGCTCCCTTTTGGGACTTTGTTGCCAGTCTCGAACAGGATGGCCGTAATCACCCCTTCTTCTCTCAGAATCAGAATGGAAACAATGAACATGACTCTCGTCACCAACAGGGGCCTCCACCTCCGCCCCCCTTTGGAGGGTGGGGTTTCCCATTCTGGAACCGCGACATGCCTCACCATGGCCCACCACCACCACCAGGGCCCCCACCTCATCACGAGCATGATGGACATCACGAACATACCGAGAAAGATGTCGATATGAACGAGAAGGACCCTCAGGCTGAGGAAAACCCAAACGGTGAAGGTCCATCCAATAACTCTGCGTCTGATACGGAAGGCCGTGGTTGCGGCCGCGGTCGACACGGCCGTTGTGCCGGACGTCGTGGACGCCATGGTTATGGACCTGGCCCATTTGGACATCATGGATACCCACATAATCATCCTCGCCGCGGTGGATGGGGTGGATGGGGAGGCTGGGGAGGTCGCGGAAGATCCTTCAATCCCTTCGAATTCGCGGCTGGGCTCTTCGATCCCGACCAAGCTGATAAGAATAAGGATAGTGAGGACTTCAGTCCAGAGACGGACGTGTTCGACACACCATCATCATTCTATATCCATATTTCATTGCCTGGTGCAAAGAAAGAAGATGTTGGAGTGAACTGGGACGCTGAGAAGTCGGAGCTTTCAATTGCTGGTGTCATCTACAGGCCAGGAGATGAAGACTTCCTGAAGACCTTAGCAATGGACGAGAGGAAGGTCGGGCCGTTTGAGAGGAAGATTCGTCTGGGTACGCGTGCAAATCCTGCTCAGATCGATGCGGAGGGAATCACAGCCAAGTTAGAGGATGGAGTCCTTCGGGTCGAGGTGCCAAAGTTGGAGAAAGAAGGCTTTGTGGAGGTGAGGAAGGTTGACATTGAATAAGACGTGGAACGCGTTTGGTATCATATCAATCGTATTGATATACTTTGTAATGGCAATTCTGGTATGACGGTGGGTTGATCAGGGTCAGTATCTAGTAAGTATCTAGGTAAGTAATTCAATTCTAAACCACCTGACTTTGTTATTCAAAGAAGGGCAAAGCCATTCAAACTTGATAGTGCCCGAACCTTTTGAAACATGTGAGGTGATCGATATCTTTAGTAATTCTTACATAGAATTACTGTACTGTATATGGTGGTGGTTGTACTTGTACATACTTGTATGGCGGGGTAGTTGGTGGCGTTCCAGGTTGGCCATGATGTAATGAAGGAAGAGCTTCCCCACCAGGCCCTTCCAACTCCACTTGGATGCAACTTAAACCTTAACACACTACTGACGCCCCACTGAAATTTCAATTCCACATCTTGACCTCCGCTCAACAACACGCAACTTCTGAATACTCAATCCACAACACATTGAAAACTAATACCAATCACTCACAATGTCTGGCGCAATTCCCACTTCCACCTCCGTCCACGAGTCGGCCGTCATCGAGGCCCATCCCAGCAAAGTCTGGCACCTCATCAAGCTCCAGGACTTCAGCAAGTTCTGGAGCAAGCTCGAGAAGAGCGAGTGGGTCAAGGGCGCATCGGAGGAGACTGATATCGTCAAGTGGTCATTCAAGGATGGCACCACCCTCGAGGTGAAGCAAGAGGAGCATTCGGTCAGTCGATACTATCAACAGCAGCTGTGCACAGGAAGGGATATGTATGTACTAATCATGAATACAGACCATCGACCACTTCATCACATACAGTGTCATCTCTGCCCAGCCTGCCCTCAGCTACACGAGCGTCGTCAGCACCATTAGGCTATACCCGGTCACGTCCGGCAAGCACGAGGGTCACACTTTCGTCACATGGACTGGAAACTTCTCTAGCGACGCTGATGCTGGTAAGTGATTTGCTTCAATTGTACGGATCGAAGTATGGATCATAACATTACTCCTAGGCGTCATCGAGGATGCTAAGTTCAAGCGCCGCGAGGCACTTGCTGATTTGGCCAAGGCTGCTTCCCAAGCTTAGATCGACCATTGGAAGGCGATTTGAGGAGGAACACAGACTGTCAATGATAATGAAACTCTGGGAAAATTTGAGAACAGTTAAATGCTAGGAAATTCCCCCGGACAAGGCCTCATTTGTCCATGTCCACCGGGCTGCAGGGCTGCAGATGTATCTTATACCAAAACAAAAGGCATTCAACAACCAAGCAGATTGCTGCGCAACGATTTCCTCATGAAGACCTCGAATTGGTGATACTACTGACAAACAGGACGATTAGGGTGTTCTTCTACAGCTTAGATGTGGCACAATCTACGATTCCAACCATGCCGATCTTGACCAATCGTCCACCGAAGCCTCGAGCACAATGCGAGATTGCGTTATGCGCCGGTGTGGAAACAGATCATCGTTCTACTTTACATGGTACCCGAGTTTGATTGTCTGGCTCGTCGTTATGTCACCAACAATGCGAGATGATATGTTCACCTAGCGACACATACCAAGCAAAATGGCACGGCCAGAATCAACGGTCCGGACCGATAGACTTCTTTGTACACAATATTTAACGGCGGCCATGTCTCATCAATGAAGTTGCTCTATTTTTGAAGCTCCAGATGGCCTAGCTCCGCTGCTATTCTGTGCAGTATCCGAGCTGAGCTCTTCGCTCTCCAGTTCCTTTCCTGCTCCTATTAGTGCGGCTCATTGATCTGCATAACGCACAATAATGGGACCCATGGCAATCTCGGCACATAAATAACTTTTGCGGGGTTAGCGAATCACACTTTATGGTTGAGTAAATTAGGCAGATCGTCAATTTCCAATATTGATTCCTTGGGAGCTTGGACGGGTAGCCACCTCGTGACAGTAACAACATCGAGCTGTTTGCAACTTGGTCGCCTGCAGAAGGGCCGATGTTACGTATGTTCAATATGGCTTCATCTTTCTGTCATGTAAAGTTTTGACCAACAACCAGTATTCGTCGTTTTTCCCTGAAGAGATGCAGTGCCATATTGCTAGTCAACCGCTGCCTTCGAAGATACTTTTCTCTCTGTAGTGAGCCTGCATGTCACGAATCTAAGCGACATGAATGTGTTTTTGGACGCTTCAATATCTGGATTCACACCATGAGTATTTCATAAAGTGCTACAAAACGTACCCAAAAGCGGCTGCGCATGTAAAATTCTAGGCTTCTTTGTTGCAGCTGTTTCATCGTCGTTTTTACCCTGCCCCGAGAAACGTAACCGAGAGCGTGTACCTGATTCATCCTCGAAAGTAGGACATGATTGACAGATCTGAGAAGATCAACAGTCTATATCAACTTTTACTGCGGGGATGGTCGTTGTTAATGAAAAGTATCAGACCCAGTGATCTCGACAATAATTTATATCTGATGCCGCTAAATTTCACACAGAATGTCAATGTCGGAGAATTGTACACTCCATGGAGCATTGATCGACGGGGACTACGTTTCCTGTACCTGAATCCAATGCCATCACCATGTGACCTATCTTCTGCACTTTATTCTCCCCTCTTTAAGCAATATGGATGTTCATTGCAATGTTTTGATCATCATTTTGGTTTGGATAGAGTGGACTATCCAATCTAGTACCTGATGAGGGGAAATGCTTTTGTTTACTATGAATTCGCATGTCGAACATTGGCATTGAGATAGAGAGTGTATATAAAGATCATCATGGACCTCAGGTTTGATAAACCAGCCTGGCTCACTTCGACAAAGGCTACCTTTAAAATACTCTTTCAACAATCCGATATCATTTCATTCCAATTCAATTACCAGTACCCATTCCACCATGTTGACCAAAACGGTTCTCTTCGCCTTGATGGCAGCTCTTGTTGCCGCCCGGCCCATGCCTCAAGATCCTCCTCCGCCAGGAGGTCCTCGTTCGTCTATTCCTACGTTTGACTATCGTTGAATAACCACTCACACCAGCCAGCTGGAGGTCTGCCACCAGGCGGCGGTTGCCCAGGTTTTCCTCGTGAGTTTCTATCCTCGTCGCGATGATCTCGAAGCATTGTCAATTCACTGACACGGTGATGACTTAGCCGGAGGATTTCCCCCACCCGGAGGTCCGCCAGGAGGCCCACCAGGAGGCCGTAAGTACTATCCTTACACTTTTCGACAGAGGTTTCTCGAGCTAACTATCAATTCCAGCACCACCGGGATCACCACCAGGCTCGCCGCGTAAGTGGACACAACAGACGCACCAAAAGGCTCCGAGAGGATATCAAACTGACCCGAGACTTCTCACTCAATAGCTGGAGGAGGTTTTCCACCACCAGGATCGCCGCCGGGCTCGCCGCCAGGCTCACCACCTGGGTCCCCACGTAAGATGCCTTTCCAGTGCGATATCTAGCGACGATGGTCATGGCTAACACTTCCATCACAGCCGGAGGCGCACCTCCACGTACGTCTCGGCACATTTAATCTAAGAGCATGAATGACGATGCTAACGAAGAATGACTAGCTACTGGCCCACCTCCCGGCGCTCCTCGTAAGTCTCACTCCGCTCAAATCCCCAAGGGCAGAAGACTGATATGGATATGTAGCAACGGGTCCGCCGCCAGGGGCACCACGTCCGTCACATCCTCTCTCCTGAATTCCGCATGGAAGCTAGCTAACATGTCGTCACAGCAACTGGACCGCCCCCCGGAGCCCCTCGTAAGTGTCCCTTGCTCCCATCTCATTGGTCTTCGCCCTCTGTGTCTCCATGTAATATCATCAAATTTGGCTGACATGTTCTCGCACAGCAACTGGCCCTCCGCCATCTCAACCGCCGGTCCAGCCACCGCCAAAGTTTTAAGTGAGAAACGCCGACGGACACGGAAACCGCGGCCGTCCGGAAGGAACCATAGCTTTCGAATGTTATAATGTATGAAATCATTGATAATAAGGGTTGAAGGCTGGGTCCTTCTCCCATCTCTTTTACTATAGGGTTTCGAGGATCTCTTTTGTGTGCTTCTGTGCCAATGTTGGCTCTGTATTAGCTTTGCACTTTGTCCTTTTTCAGAGGGTTGGAAACATGTCAATGGTAGCAATGATTCAGTCGGTCTGCTCGACATTTGTTAAAGGCACTGAAAATGAAATGGCTTTTGTTGAATGATTGGGAGTTTGAAACCCTGTTTATTGTATGGCCGAATTGACCCAGAAATGAGGTGGCTGACATTACATAGGCCCCATAAAATATGGGCTATTACATAGGGGGCATGAAAAATAGCATAAGAATGAGCAACACCCGACTCCTAGGATGCTACATGCTTGTTCAATAAGTACGCCAATAAAAGTCCAAACCATGCAAGAAACTATAAATGAGGTAGTAAAACTACTATCCCAGGGTATCTGACAAGAGATCTCAAAAACCAAAACACCAGCCCCCAAAACCTCAACTTCTTATTAGCAGGCAATGACGAGACGACCCTAACCACTGACGCCGCTCCAGTCCAACCCGGAGCCGTCTCCTCCCTGTGCTCGTTGCTGGTTCATTTGCTGCTGCTGCCTGGCTTGTGCTTGCCTCATGAGCATCTGCATCTGCTGTTGCTGGGACAGCTGCGGGTTCATCTGTCCCATATTCATGCCCTGCATCCCAGCCATATTCATGCCAGCCATGTTTTGCATATTCTGCAGATTTTGCACGTTCTGCATGTTGTTCATGTTCATGGCACCGGGATTAGCCATCATACCAGCCATGTTACCCATGCCGGCCATGTTGCCCATCATTCCAGCATTCATCTGGCCGCCAGATGCTGCCGCTGCCATTTGTTGTTGGCGCTGCATGGCGATCATCTGTTGCTGTTGGCGCTGCTGTTGCTGTTGCTGCTGCAAGCGTTGCTGGTTGAGGGCCTGCGTCCATTGCTGCATCTGCTGGGGATTCTGGCCCATGTTCATATTGCCCATATTGTTGTTCATCTGCCCATTCTGGGCGGCCTGGAACTCTTGCTCTTTCTTACGCAGGGCCATTTGGAGCTGTTGCATCATTGCCTGGTGCTGAGGCGGAGCAGCTGAAATCTGACCATAGTTTGCTGCCAACTGCTGTTGCCTTTGCATGTAGGTAGCCTTAAGCTGTTGGTACGACATGTTGTTGATTTGCATAGCGGCATGACCACCAGGCATGCCTTGACCAGGGCTTTCGTTTCCCATACCGGGGTTTTGTTGCTGCTGCTGCTGCTGCTGTTGTTGTTGCTGCTGCTGGTTCATTTGCTGTTGCTGCTGTTGCTGCTGCTGGGCCCGCTGCTGCTGATGTTGCTGTTGCAACTGCTGGAAGTACCGTTGAGCAAGCGCCTGCTGATACTGCATGGCGTTCTGTCCCTGCGGCACGCCTCCCTGTGCTTGGATGTGCTGTTTGGCTTTCATGATAGCCATCTGTTGAAGCTGTGATATGTTTTGGCCGGGTGAGCCCGATAATCCCTGCATTGCCTGAGCTCGTATGCGTTGCATTTGAACATTCTGGAGTTGTTGCATTTGCTCCGGAGTCATCCCCTGGAGAGAAGGCGTCTGCATCATGATTGGAGTGCCTCCCGCCATAGGCGCTGACGGACTTCCTTGGTTCATGCGTGGCTGCGGTGTAGACGCCATGTTGCGATTTGGTCCAGCGGCATTCATTACAGGCGTGCCTTGTATCATCTGAGGTGTACCTGTCCTGCTCATGGGCTGATTTTGTTGCTGGCTGGCGCTGCGTGCCATGGCAGCGTGTGACACCGCAGACGGTGGTCGTGCTGGGCTGCCGGCGGCATGATTGGAAGACGTAGCCACCATGGGAGTACCGCCCATTTGATGAGTAGGATGCATCATGGGTGATGCAGCAGCAGCCATTGGAGTCTGCTGCCTTGGGACAGGGGACGAGAATTGGGGTTGAGTTGCAGATTGCGGCGTATGAGAGACTTGAGAAGTAGCGTTTGCTATTTGTTGCGCCTGTGCTTGGGCTTGGGCTTGAGCCTGTGCTTGAGCTTGAGCCTGGGCTTGTGCTTGGGCCTGTGCCTGTGCCTGTGCCTGTGATGCTCGCAGCTGTTCTTGTTGGAGTTGTTGTTGTTGTTGTTGCTGCTGCTGCTGTTGCTGTTGCTGCGCTTGCTGCTGCTGTTGGCGAAGCAGAGCCTCTTGTTGCCTCTGCTGCATCAACGCATGTTGCTCGGCCTGGCGGTTCGCTTCCATCTCTCTCCTCTTCTGAGCTTCGGCCTCGGCTTGAGCCTGCCTCTTCGCGAGGTTCTGGCGTGCCTCTTCCTCCTTCTTTCGGTTTTGCGCTTCTTCGTGATGCTGCTTGATGGTCTCCAGAGCCTTGAAGCGTGAAAAGGTCAACGAGTTCGCTCCGCCGCGCATGTGCGTCTGGCCATCCTCCGCACCAGTCGCCGTGGCCGTCTTCGAGGCTTGTAGGTCATCTCCTGCGAGCATGAAACGCTGCGTGTCGGCAGCCTCCGCTTCATCGGCTGCCAATTCGGCTGTGGTTCTCTTACGACTCTTCCGTGGCGGCGCAGGCATCTTGTTGTTCGGGTGGGTCAGCTCGTCCATGAGCGCTTGCGATTCTAACAGACTTCGAGTTGGGGCAAGGTACAGCTGCGGGCAAGTGGCATCTAAGATGGCAGCCTCGAGCTCATATCTATTGCTCTCGTCAAGAACCATTTTCTGGCGTTTTGGACTTCGCCCGCTTGTAGCTGTCGGCGTGGGAGGAACTGCGGTCAGTGGAGTCGGGGGGTTGCCGGGGGTCTTTCCGGACGCCCTATTCTTCCGATATGTCTCAATGTCCACCACCGGCGTAAGTGCCAGGAGTTGGAGATCCGCATTGTGCGATTCGGGCGTATCAAAGAGCACCATCGTCGCGACCTTGGCCTTGCTAGGTGCATTTTGAGATGACGCTGGCTGGCCCGGTGCTGGAGCGTTCTCCTTGTTCGGTTCCTCGTTCGACTGCGGATCCGGTGCCTTGAACCTGTAGTCTTTTGTGGTGGAGCCTGGGCCCTTCACTGCGTACTGTTCTGGATAGGGGGCAAAGGCGGAGGGTGTGATGAAGCTGTTGTACGTGTGTATCGAAAAGAGGTTGGTCCCGTTGGGCGTTTCGGCTTTGCTCGCCTCATCTTTAGGCTTGATCCCGGTGGTTCTGAGGTCATGCACCTCAACAATCAGGCAGTCTGCGCGTGTGTGTTAGCGGTAGCCCCATCGCTCTCGATCCATCGAGACCTTACTGTCATAAAATGGTATCCCTGCGGCATAGAACTCGTCCACCATGTTATGAGGGACCGTCTTCGCACTTATGTGTTCCAGCAGTTCCCGCATGGGCGAACTGTACGAGAGCGAATCCTGAGAATCGTTGATGCGGAAGTGGTTCGGGTACAGGTAGACCTTGAGTGACGGGGGGTTGCCATTGAACCTATTGAGGATGTAGTTTTTGTCGCGGACATACGGTCTCCGCTCGGTTTTGGGGGCGCCATTTTCCATAGTGTTTCCTTTGGTCGTCGAAGACCGCGCGAGGGTCGGGCGTTGGGACTCGCGACGTTGGCGGAGAGCCTGGGAGGGGCGGGCAGTGGCAACGGCTGCGGACATGGTGGGCTATCGCGAGTATTTATTTTGGGTAGTAGGATAGCTGCGCGTGTGGGTCGCGGTAGCGATTGCAGAAGCGACAGCAATCGCGAACGGCTGGGAGCGGTGAGCGCTGTTGGCTCTTCTGGAATTGAGCAAGTGGGACGGAGACGGTGTCGAAGGCCGGCGCAGAGGCGCGCGCGAAGCCTTGGGAGACCGGGAGATTGTCGAGGTGTGTTCGCGGGGGTAGATCCAAAAAGCGCAGAAGGTTGATGACTAGTTATGTCGCATCACTTCTGGGATATAAGGTCCAGGGAAGTTGGATGTTTATGCGGAGGACGTGGAGTGACGTGAAGTGAAGTGAAGTGCAGTGATGTGATGATGCCTTCAGGGTGTTGGCGCTGTGAAACTGTTCCGTAGGCCTTGGCGCATGGTCGAAGGTCGGGACCCCAACAGTCACGTGATCTAAGTATTGATATCGCAAAGAGACACCCCAATCTGTCTCAATTAGCCTTCTTCACTAATTACGGTACGGAACACGTTGGGTCTATATTAAGTTCTACACTTCTGGTCATTTTCCGGCCTTTGCACATTGTGTCTGTGAGGTAGTTTGTGCAAATTTGCAGATGGAATCTGAGCAATGAATCAGCTCCACCACCATTTTCAAGATCTAGCAAATGTGCAAAAGTAAAAATCATCTCATTCGATTGTGTTCTTTCTTCGTCCTAAGATGCATTGCTCCATATGTTCCATATACGAGTGACATCCCTAACCACCTCTAATGAATCGCTACATGCATGCCGCTAAAATGCACAAAAAGGGCAAAAAGAACAATCCCATCGACCCCATGTTCCACTGAAATATGTCGAAAGTAGGATGAAAGACGAGAACCTGTGCCGTCCGAATTTCGTCTCAAAGTACGGGTCAATCTCGAATGTTCCATGGCTCTGAGCACTGTGTTTCGATAGTCTTCCTCACAAAACCACGCAGCAGCTGGGACTGGGCTCCGCGACTCTGGGACTGGTTCCTTTGACTTTGGTCTTGGGTTCCATGGCCTCGGTCTTCGATTCTGTGAATCCGCATTGCCAACATAGTCTGTGCTTTGCATGGCATTTGGGGTTTTCACAGAGGGCGTTTGGTCCTTGTTGCTGCGTGTTCTTGTTACCGCAGAAGCAGCATATCCAACCCATCGTATCTGGCCGAGTGTTTGGACTTAAGTGAGAGAAGAGATGTGGTAAAGACTGGCTTCTATGCTATATAAATGGCTCGAAATTTGCAAGGTATGTAATGTGGATTTGAGTAAGGCATGCTGTGATAACTTAGCAATATTCGTGGTATTTAACCATGTTTTCACAGTTGCGATATGGACGTGAATAAGACATGACTTGTATTCAGTGATCTTGTTGTTGATATATTTGAAAGGTCTGTATATACTTTCCCTTCACATTCGTTGGTTGTTAGATCACCTACTGCCTTTGTCGTGAGGACCAAACCTTGAAGGAACAGTATCACAGTGACGACGGCAACAATGCCATTGTCACAATCCATAGTTAGGTACCTTACGCAGTCTCAAAAATATCCACCAAATATAGATATCAGTCAAATATACTATCAACGGTCTTGTGAAGGTCTTAGTCCCCAAAATTTTATTGACATTTTCAAACCTGTATGCTTTCTCATAAACATGATTTTGTGAAAACAACTTCAAGTGACATTCTCCACTCGTCAATCTCACCAAGAAACATACCGAATGATTCAAAGATATCTCTGGCCAAAAGCCAACCCACACGATCGAACCAATCCCACGGATATGTCTCACGAAGCAACTCCGCGAGCCAGCCAACCGGCCGGCTGTCCCGTAGACACACAACATGAAGCCACCCAACCACCCCCTCCCCCCTTCCCCCTTCCCCCACCGTTACATCTCACCCATCTGCCCATTTTGGTCGCATCCAGAGCCCGCAATCCTCGAAAACATACCAAACCCCTGATTCAACTACCCTCCAACTCACCACCACTCATTCTGCCACCCGGTGTCGTGGACACCGATCCCCATGGCTCTTCGTGACACAAGAGTCATGCAGAGAGTGGGTGGTACGCGGATGTTTCACCACGAGCGCGTAATCTGAGTGCCACCTTCGAACCTCGTTCGTCAATCTTGTTCTCGTCCTGCCGCCTTCCTCTTTCTTATTCTTACAGGCATTTCTCGGCGGGACCGACTTCGGAAAATGGTGTTTTGTTTGTCAAGGATGTTCGTGTGTACTCTACGCCTGCGTCCTCAGTGCCCGCTCTCTCATTCTAGATCTAGGCGTCTGAATGCACTCGGATATTGGACTGACGGACTGACTGGTTGATGAACGCGACTGAGAAAGCACGCGCTGGGGGATTTGATTATTGGTCAGTATGTAGGTGCGCCTCGAGGGTGCACAATGCAACGCGCCATTGTACTGTTCAATCTGTACGTGTAGGGATTGACTAAGTGTGTGGAGGGACCATTGAAACGTGCTGAGCGACTCACGACATGTAGCGAACAAACAATTTGAAATGCTTGACTCTATCGAAAATGCTCCAAGAGACGTATGCTTCGTTCAAGCTGACAGTGAACTCAAAACCCTCTTTCACGTCACTATCAGAGAGAGAGAGACAATCATGCCTTCAATACACGCAGACAGCCAATCTCGAATCCCCATACTCATCCCGACTTCCCTCTTACTCCTCACTCCTCCCGCTCCTCCCAACCAATCAACCAACTGACCAACCACAGGACACCAAAACAGACCCAACAACTCACGTAGCAAACAAACCCACACGGAAAAAAAAAACACCGTAGCACAAAATCCAGCATTCCCACGCACCCTCCACCCCTACCTCCTAATCGAAGAAACCCGGAAGTGAAAAAAAAAGAAATGAAAAAACGTACCCGTTTCGAGCAACGTACATTTACGGCCTACCCAGCTCAGCCAGTCAGCTACGCCAACGTCCCACGACGTATGTAGATAAATCCTCGTTATTCGTGGTCGTGGGTGTTGTTGGGTAGATGCGCGAGGAAGGGTAGATCTAAGACGCTGGGATCGCGACCGAGTTCCCGGTTGGCGGGTCGTGGCCGTGGTAGTGCTTGCTTTTTTGAACCTTCTTTTTGGTCGTTCGATGCGGTGAATGGGTGGATCGAGGAATGAGTGGATGGATGAGTAGATGGATGTGTCTGCAGCGGATTCCGTTCCGAAGTCGGTGAGCGATGAGAATGGTAATATCTGCATGCCGGGACGAAGGAAGGAAAAAGCAAGGGTTAGAATGCAATACAACAGAAAGTAGCAGACATCATCTATCTGCCTTGACATGAAAAAAAATAATGACAAGTCTTGAAATCCACGGTCCTAGGCCGCGAGCAAGATATGCTGCTACATCATACCATTGTAAACGTGACTGACCCGTGGTTCCTATATCCCCGCGACCAAGAACGCGTTTTCTTTCTACGTCTCTCCTACCAAGACAGGTAGGTCGGTATATCCCTAGTTCTAGCAACTGTAAATATTTCCGCCGCGTCAAGAGAAAGTATCTTCCTCCCCAACACCCAGGAACGCACACACCAAAATCTATCCAACGCAACCACACAACCGCCCCTCCTCGAGCTCAGCATCGTCCCCAAATAAACACACAGAATGAAAATTATACAGTGAACACTTAAGCCATAAATACAACCCAATCACAACCCCTTCCCTCCCTCATGTACACGTACCCTCACCCCGTACCATCGTTCCCAGTTTTCCCAACAACCAGGTTTCTTTTTCCCCGTCTCTCACCGTCCCGTGTCCAGGCCTGGACCTATCACCCCAACTCTCTGCCCGCCAGCGCACAGGCATTTACCAAAGAAAACGCACGATCCATTTCCAGGCATTGACCATTGACTATTGATAGGATAGGGTAGAGGCGGGTGGGCGAGACGGCAAGAGTCGCGGAAGCGTCGCAGATCCGGGGTACTAGGGGAATGGCAGGGAAAGGCGGGTAAAGTGGAGCGGACGGACGAGCGATTTATCTTTTTGGGGATCAATTGCGGGCCGCGGGTGGAGTTATCGTATCGGGAGCGTGAATCTTCGGTGGTGTTTTGGTTTTGGTTTTGGTTTTTTTGCGATTGGATTGGATTATCGTTTCTCTTGTTGAAGTTGAGGAGTTTGGTAGATGGTAGTTAGTCAATGAGTCGTGGGATTACTTGAATGGGAAGGCCTAGCTAGCACCTCGGGTTTGCATCACGGTGATTCGCTAGTTCAACCAGATTGAAATGGTCTGATTCGTCGATGGACAGACGGATTGATTGATGGATTGCGACAAAGAAGACGCCATGCTGCTATATCGAAATCAAAATCAAAAGGCCAACCAAATGCACAACGACCTGGCTAGTTACATGGTTTTCACTTCTCGCTGCCGCCGCCACGCCGCCGACGACGACGACAGAGAGAAGGAAATTGAGCCGTCGCAATACATCGCTAGGAAAAACAAAACAAAATCAAGAAAGCAAACAACGAGATAGAGCCGCCTGACTCAAGATGGTATCATAGGCTTCAAGCCACGCGTGTTGCGCTCTTTTTTTTTTTTTTGGCTTTGCCCCTCCCATGTGCACTGGGAGGTGGAGCCAGTGCGCACCCGTCTAAAGAGCGGAAGAAGGTAAGGAAGTGGCTGATATCAGCTGCTGCAGCTGCCGCATTGAGAAGAGCAGCCGCGATCATTCTGCCTAGGAATGGATGGCCTGGAAAATGCCATGCCGAAGTGATGAGTGTATGAACAAGACCGATAGCTACCATAACAAGTTGAACCCCAAAAACCGGTTCCGGAATAGCCTGTCGGGAATCTCGTGCCAGCCTAATAGCCAGTAGGAGAGGGCCTGAAAGGTAGAGTATTAGAGGGAAGAGGCATATCCAGATGTCTAATGAATCCCCAACTGCGAATAAAATGTTGCTGTCGCTCCACCTGCCGTTCCTCACTGAACGGTTTCCATCATCTCTTTTCACGGCGAGGGCACAATGTCCTTCGCCAATTCGGCCTCGACATACCTAGGCCAGGTGTTGGTGAAGACAAGATATTTGATGCTTTCGAAGGCGGCATCGAATATCTCGTCGGTGAACTCGCTTGGAACGATGCTCTTCGTGCTCGCGCTACTCGAAGCACTATTCGTCGAACTATAGCTCGTCGGACGATTCAGCACGTCCTCCCAGGGACAAACAACGTTCTCTCTGGGGGTCGGCGATTGGGGCGAGGTGCCAGGATCGCCAGGCATATACGGATCATACTCGACATTCGCAAACGTCCGCTGCAGCGTTCGGAAGATTTTGTACTCAATGTTGATCGGCGTCTCGGCCGTGAATGGATTGATGAGGGTGAAAAAGATCAGAGAGGCCTCTGTGAACATCTGTCGCCGTTGCGCGGTCGTGACCGTACGCAATTCGGACCACTTCTTCTTGAAATTTCGCACCTCGCGCAGAAAGATCGTGTTCTCGGCAGTAAATTCTCGAGACGCCGCCCAGGAGATCAGAGGCTCGATACTGTGCTCGATGCTGAATTCCAGGGCCTGCATCGATGCTTTTGGTTTGAGCTCTTTGCTTATGATGATCTGGGGTGACCGCTTCGACCATGACGATTCGGTCGATGCAAGCGACTCGGCTGTGGTTGTTGAAGAGATGGATGATCGACGGGAGGTCGTGCGGAATGCTTCTCGGAGCGGGATGACGATCAAGACTTGCTGACAGACAATAAGAGATGGCATAAACCTGGATTGGGCCGAGTCAGTTACACGAAAGTCAGGGTCGCACGGGTTTGATAGGAAACCCCAGGGGCCACGTTGACAGCCGCACTTGCTTTTGCGAAGCCATCAAACGCGACAACGCGGAGAAAGAAATCTTGGGAAACAAAACGAGCCGTTTCGGGGTAACGTAAGAACTTACCATCCAGCTGGTACGAAGTACTTGTTCATGGCCATCATGCTGGGAATCCTGGAATACGTAAATGCCAACCATAGTGGTGTTCCAGGTAATCTGACTCTCTGGTAAGCGTGGTTCGAACATCCAAAAGAGGGAATTCCCTCCTACCCTGCAACGATGGCAAGCCTGGTCTGCCATGCCCAGTAATGCACATCATTGACCTTGCGAATCCTCCAGAGGATCCATGGTCCCACAATGACGGTCCAGAAAAGCTGGACGAGAATAGAGGGAATCCTGATCTGCATTAGAGACTACGCTTTCTGTTTACAGACAATACTCACCATTCGCCGCCCTTGCGACATTGGACTGCATCTACGATGGGGCCGAAGATTCCATAGGCGCCGTGGAAGCGACGGGAGGCCAGGAACAACACTAGTGCGGGTATCATCTTTCTTGATCAGCTGGCGTCAACTATTGTATGGGCAGAGGTACTCACTGTGATGAGGAGACCGAGCACGCTTCCGAAGTAGACCTTTGCTGCCGCGTCGAGACCGAGCCAAGCGTCGTACAAGCCTCGAGGCGTACAGGAAAATCTCTTCCTCCGGGCGCTTGCCAGAAAGTTTGTCTGCAGGCGGCTCTGGCTTTCGTATGCCTTGAGCACTCTGGCATTACACGCTTTGGTGGGTGAGCAAACCGTGGCCATGGCGGTGGTTAGTGATACGTACCTTGGAACAGAGCCATTCCGGCGGGTAAGAAAATCGACATGACCCAGAACTCAGCAGCACATGGCCATGAGCCGTTGAGAGGGTAAACAAGAAGCACTAGGATGAGGTAGATGTGCAGCGAAGAGACGGCGGCGAAGACGACTTTGATGTTTCGTATCCTCACGCAGAAGGCTGAGCGCTGGCGATAGAGGTAGAACAGCTCAGCGGATACGATGATGGTGTAGACGATGGCCAACGCGACGTATATGATACTCACGGCGTCGAGATTGGGACGGCCGCCATCGAAGGCGCGCGATCTCAGAACGGGCGCCATGCTCAGCATAGTAGTGAGGGGTGAGCGAGGTTCAGTGTGAGGTTGGAGAGGTCAAGGTGAGAAGCGCGAGGTGTCGACATGCAGGACGAAAAGATACCTAAGTATGGGCAACGGTAAAGAGAATGACAACAGGTAGGATGGAATAGTGGAGGGACTGTAACCGGATCGACGGTATAGAAGAGATCAGATGGAGGTTACATAAGCCGGTGTAGGTAGGTACAGTGCGCGGGAAACGTGAAGTTGGTTGGTAGGGCAGGACCCGGGAGTCAGGTGGAGCGGTAGAGGGTCGGCGTGTGAGATTGATGAAGGAGGTTCAGATGGCCCGAGAGCAAGGTCGAGGGTGGATGTTCGATGGTCGATGGTCGATGGTTTGATGGTTTTAAGGAATGTAAGGATTAGTTGAAGGTCGTAGAGTGGCAAGGGTATAGTGTGGATAGAGGATAGAGAATAGGTTGAATGAATGAATTGAGGAAAAAGAGTGCGAGCAAGAAAGAGAGAGAGAGAGGAGGGAGAGATGGGGGGAATGAGGGAGATTTAGCAGCGAGTGATGGAGAGGAAGAGGGAGTGACAGTGCACGCGGCGGCAAGGGAGGGGAGAGGAGGTACAGTGTAAATAGCACAGATGAGAGAGCTCGGATGATGCCGAGTGGAGGATATGGAGGGGAGGGGAGGTGGATATGGAAGATGTGGGAGATGGAAGAGGAGGAAGATGAGGTAGAAGCGCGGTGTGACTGGGAGGTAACCAGGAGGGATGGATGGATGGATGGGTGAATGAATGAATGGACAGGATGGGGATGGGATGGAAAGATGGGAATGGGCAGCGACAGCGACAGCGACAGCGACAGCGACAGCGAGGGACGACGAGAAAGAAGTTCACGAGAGGTGCATTGGGGTTGGTGACACAACCGCCGCCACGGGGACACAGATTGCGACCCTGCCATGCCATGACCATTGCCATCCATTGACCTGACCAGACTCGGTACATCACCTGAAGCCATCATCATAGCCATGGCCATGGTCATAGCGATGATTGACTACTCCGTACCCGGGTAGGTAGGGTAGGGAAGATAGCATTGGCGGTGGCGTTGAGGGGAAAAGAAAATGCATGGATGGGATGGGATGGGATGGGATGGGATGGGATGGGATGGGACAGGACAGGATAGGACGGGATGTCATGTTATGCCAGGACAGGGCAGGCCATGTCGGTTCAGCTGGAGAGAGGGGATACAATATTGATGCTATTTTGTGTACAGAGTATTGTGTGTACGTGTACGTGTATGTGTATCAACATGTATGTGTGAATGCAAGAGTATATTGTCCGTGTGGACATGTGAGACATGATAATGTATGATATAGATGGCATGATATGATATAGGAGGATGGAAAGAGAGTAATCAGCTATTGATAGAGAAGAGGGAGAAGAAGCTTGGTCCAACAGTTGAACTGAGAGGAGGGGAAGTTGTAGTAGTTGTAATAGCAATGGTAAGGGTATGAGGAGATGTAATAGTGATGGTAAGGATGAATGGAGGTTACAGGTTAGAGGGTTACAGATGTTACCGACCTGGCCGATGCCACCGATGCCCACCGATGTTGCCGACGTTACAGACGTTACCGATGTTACAGACATTGCCAGGCGCCGCATGAACGAACATGAACGAACGTGAACATGAACATGAACATGATCAACCCATGAACCTGAACATGAACATTGACATGGGCTTCAACTTGGACATGAGAATTGACGCAAACATTTAATTAATCAGTGGCAGAGGCTATTGTTATCATCACATGTATTTCCACCTACCTAGGGTAGACTTAAGAAGGAAGGAACGTAACCTTGATTGGACATCTGAGAAGGAGCGACCCTCGGGACTAACGTACGTGTCTACCTGTGTGTATAACTCTGTGCAAGTATGTATAGGCGCCTAATCTTGTGTATACTCCATAATTCGTGTAATACTATTATCTGTATAATACTATACTATACTATACTATACTGTAAGAGTAGAGTGGAGTGTTTTGAAGGTGGAGTTGACTCCATTCCAGGTTCCTGGGTCAGATCCTCTTGTGAACCAGAACCATTGACACGCACCAAACCATTCCGGGACTAACAACCCTCATACACTCACTCTATGGTCAAGACATCCATACACGACGGAATACAGAGTAACAACTATAGTCACTACTTATTACATGCACCTGTACATTTACATCTGGTTCTGACATACTCGGTACATGTCATTATTATATGGAGTGTCTGTTGGGTGTCGCACTGCATACTCCCGCATTTTCGGCAACTATTCTCCGACTCCATTACCCGTCCATGCTATCATCCTACTTGTAACCTATCCTACTTGCAACTTGCAACTCATCATGCCGTCCCTTCAACGGTCAACGTCAACGTCAAACCATCTCCCGTACAATCACTCTGTACCAATAAGCATTCAATCATTATACTCCATACACTTCAACCATATCGAACAAACCTGCTTCTACCCCTTCGACTGCCACTACTACGTCCAGCATCATCGTTGCTCGGCGCTTCTCTGCGTCGTCGCTCCTCATGCGAACAAACCACCCCCCTCGTTTCATAAACCCTCCGCCCGCCTACTGTTGGTCCAAAACCTTCTCCCCCTCCCACTTCATGCACGACCCTCACCCTCACCATCAACCTCACCATCTTCCAAAACACTCCCTTCAGCCTTGCATTTATTGCTCTTTGTCCCCTTCCTACTGCCTTGCTTTCCCATGTCATGCCTTATTATCTACCATGCCTTGCCTTGCTGTCACCCATCCCCCCAGTCTCACATGACACCTTCTAGAAGCCATCCCCACTCCACTCTCCTCTCCTCTCTCTCCCTACCTCCCTGTCGCGTCGCATCCAAAAACAAGAACCAGAACAAAAGAAGGAGAAACTCAAAAAGTAGACAAGATGGAGGTCTGACAACGTGTCCCGATACGCCACCATCTCCATCCATTTTCTCATTGCCCCCCTTCTCTCCCGTCTTCCATTCCTCCCAATGTTCCCTCAGACATATCGGCCAAACAAGTTGCGCCGTCAACGCTACACAAATGCACCGAATCCACCACTACCAAACAAGGCTCGAATAACCAGTCCACACACTCCCATCCTCCCCTATCCGGCCGAACTGTGGAGTGTGTGGTCGCCCAAATGCCATGAGACATCGAGGTTACCGGTGGCTGTAACATTGACGGGCTGCACACCCATACTTGCCCTTCGTCGCACAGGGAAACATCTCTTTCATCTAACTCGTTGCTGGCCATCCCTCCGTCGCCATTCATTCAGCTAACTACAGACTACATACCTAGGTACCTGTTCCTCAGCCAATCATGCATTCAACCGTCATACGCCTTCTTCTCTTACCTACTCACTCACCTGCATACATTATAACAAGTACCTATGTGCTCCGTACAGCGTACGTCCAACATGTAGATCCAACTATCACCCTCCGACCCAATCCAATCAAAGACCACCTTTCATCTCTACTCAGGCACTTACTTACACACTACGCCGTAGACGCGCCGTTCAGTCCCTCCCTCGCCCCTCTCGCCTTGCCTACCACAAAACCAACCCCAACACAACGCGTGACAAAACAGAACCACGAAATGCATGTACCACCCACCCCATCTCATCTGCCGAACCTACCGAACAACCGAGATGAACCTCCCATGGCTCTTGTGTCTTGTGTCTCTTGTCTTGTGTCTCCCTTGTCTCCCCTCCTCCTCATCCTGTCTTATCCCCCTCCCCCTCCTGCTCCTGCTCCTCCCGCTGCGTTCCCTACGGTCGTGGTCGTGGTCGTGTCTGTGTCTGTGTCTGTGTACCTGTATCTGTATCTGTGTGTCTGTCTTTGTGCCTGTGTCACCCGTTCGGATGATGCGCCACCACTCCCTCCACCACTCCATCAGGGTCGTTAATTCCAAATCGCCCATGCGGGTGTGTGGGTGGATGGATGCTGGGGTTACGCGGGGTGGTGTGTATGTGTCTGTCTTGGTCCACTGGTTGAGTAGGTAGGTAGGTAGGTAGGTACGCCGAGGTGATGTAGGTGCATAGTGGTCAGACCGCGTGGGAGGTGTTGGATACTTATTGAGAACTTGGAGAGGTATGTACTAGTACCTAGGCACATCCATGGCCATATGTAGAGCGCAAGCACGCACGCGAGAACATTGAGCTCTTGTGAGGATCGACCATTACTTCGCATTTGCCTTTCCCTTCTGTATGATTCGCTCTTGAACAGATTCGTCTAGAGTAAGGGAGTTAGTTCTTCCTTTTCTTCTTCCTTTTCTCCATCAGGTCGTGTTATCGATAGTTTACAGTACTAGGGTTGGTAATAGGTTTAGTTTTGCTATTCCGTCGATATAGTTTATATCACATCGCGGTAGCTGTTTCGCACGTCGATAGACGCATCGACAACAATCAATTGCCGACTTACTCACCTACGAAATTCTTTTCATTAGGTCCTTTTTCTTTCAAAAGAAGAAAGAATAGGAGGGGATTACCGATCTGATTCCGCGAAAGGAGAAAGAAGAGCACTCGTCTACCGCCTATGGGCGAACGAGGTGGAAATGGTCTTTTATTTGGTGCTTCCTTGACTTTAACGATCTCCATGCTTCAGGCGACGGACGAGACTGTGACTTAAGTCGTCCAGCTTTTGCGCTCTGCTACATCGGGTGAATGAAGTAAGAACAGCTGGTTCGTCGTAGTATCTAGAAGGTTGCATGCTCTATGCGACCTCCAAGGATGGTTGTAGATGAATTTCTTTCTATGATTGGTTCCAAGCAAGACCTGTTCTAGGTTATTGTTGTTAGAGAGTGAAGATGATACGAGGACATTCAGAGACCATGTACTTTACAGTACTTTTCTAAATGTAGAGAAACATGGAAGTTTAACTCGCATCTACGCTGCGCGATCGTCTTTTTATTTGACGTTCTGGTGCAGGGGAATTTGGATATACGCACATCTATGAATACACATACAGACATACACAAATATTTACAGACGCATACAGACGCATAAAGACGCATACAGACACATACAGACACATACAGACACATACAGACACATACAGACACATACAGACACATACAGACACATACAGACACATACAGACACATAC